CGATCTGTACTTGTGCCCTCAGACCCTTATCTGGTTAAGGCAGACTCTCGTTTACCAAACCCTATGACATGCAGGATCGGGGATCCTACAAATCGAGAGGATTTGTCTCATCCCGACGAGAGAAACTGTGACTCCCTAGATACAGATGCTGGTTCTGCGTCAGGCCGAGGGACGAGAGCTCTTGATGTCGGACTGTATGAGGTCATTATCTGCGACTACCGTTATGAGGGTGGATCTGGCAGTGTCTACCACAAGATGCAGCCATACATGTGGGCAGCGTTCGCGCTGGCCACCGAGATGAGTAAACGACAGATAGCACCACTGGAGATGCGAGATTTCCCCCCACGGAGCGCCGGAGTCATTGGTGTGGAAGGTGCTGCATACATATTTTCCGATATCATCACTCGGAAAGGGGTATGGCGCCAGCGTCTAGAAGTTATAGTCTACCACGGTGGGCAGTCCGTGCCCGAACGAATATTGGCTGTTTTCTGGGGCTGGTACTGGCGGGCATCCGCTCATCAGGCGCAAAAGGTGGCCAGCATCGAGCTACCTCCAGATTTGTTGAACCGCTTCATTGATCTAGGTGATGACGATGGTGACGGCGACGCGAAATTTGGTACCTCGACCGACAAGTTGAAGGAGGTGTTGAATTCTTCTACGACTCCGAGGGAAATCGTGTGGATGGGAGCGAAGCTGTGCTATGCATCCTACCACCATTGGGAGTGCCTTATGTTTGAGGCAGAGAGGGACTCTTGGTTTTCTAGTAATGCACATGGGTATCTCGAACAGGGACAGATATCGCCATTTTTGGATACCATTGTTGCGGCAGGACTTACATTCCCGCGTGGGTGACAGATTGTTTCTTCCGATACGTGCGCTAGCGTATTGGATCTGCGGGTACTTTTCATTTTTCTTCTATTTTGGCGAGATATGTTTGGGCTATCATACTTGTGGGAGACGAACTGCATACAAATGAAAAGAACTGCCTTCTCCCTTTCGGAATTTAGCATAAATTTTATGAGAAAGCTCCCCCCTTCGCGATGATTGGTAACAGGCATTTATAGGACCTGCAAAAGACAAGAATTGATTACAACTTCCCCCTAATTCATCTCAGCCCTAAAGAATATGATAAGTACGAAAGCTATCACACCCAGCACTCTAGGCGAAATACGTGAACTCATGATGAGTCCAAGGGCTCATTCGCCCACAGCCACAGAGGTGGAGCCCCGGGGAAGGACCCACTGCACAGAACTTCCAAGTTGACGTCCCGGGGGCTTATAACAGTGGCTCGTGGCCCATGTTCTGGAGAGTCGTGGGGGCTTGTAATGTAGGTAGAGGTAGTGTTTGGCGGATCGGGACGGGTCGTGCGTCAGAATCGGGCCAGTTCAGCTATATGATTAATAAACTTGAACATCTTGTGGTTCGCAGGTGATGCTCGATCCGGCTCAACTCTCCCAGTGTCATATACGATCACTCGCATAGCGGGGCGGGGGGGGAGGGGGGAGGTTTGTGTTGTAAGGATATGTTATTGTTCGGCGCGAGGGGAGGAGGGTCGAGTATTTCATCGTGAATCGTCTATCATAATATTATTATTCGGGAGAGAATATTTGAATTGGAAGTGTTGGTTGTAGTTAGACGAGAATTGTTACGGGTGGAAAGTATGAACGACTGTGCGAAGAAGCCCTAGCAGTAAGGGAGTTGTAAGATTGAGGCCACTGCCCTCCAGGATTTAGGTTAACTGCTTCTAAAAGTTGACGTAAGGTTTCGGGGAAACATCGCCTTACCCATATCATCCTTCACCCCAACACCGTTTTTATCATCCCCGCTAAATCACACCAATATCCGGAGAAAGTAAAAAATGGATAAAAACGGGATCCTTCTTTATTTAACAAACAAGGAATTACCCATGTGGGAACCGCACTCAGTGAGGAAGCATTGTAGTGGAAGTATGGTAAGTAGTCCTGGAAGTCGAAGGTACCGGAAACACATCCATATTATTCTAACAAATATTATTTAAAGCTAGGATAATTCAATTTTTCCTGAAAGAGTCAAAATTGTAAGCAATCAAGCCAAAATCATACTGATGAAAATGTTATGAAATTTTGTTCGGTCAATTTCATGGTCACAACTCATTTTTAACCATTTCTGTATATCCTCTAGTTATATCCTATGGCCACTTAATATCATAATAATATTATTATCATATCACACCTGTAAATATTTTCAAATTAACATTTTATCTGTCATCAACTTCTTGCCCTTGCTCCGTTCTTATCGGTCTTGTCTCCAATTACAGAATCACTTCCGTGTTTTCGGTATTTTTTAGTCATGCTGGTATCTAGTGATATAGGACGCATCCTCAAGCGGCACAGTGTAATCTTTCATATCTTAACATCCTCGTAGCTATACCCCCGGGGGCACTTTTGGAATCCTGGAAGATCACGAATACAAGCCTGGACGGTCGAGTGGTCTCGCCGTTAGCCCTGCGAGATTCCTCGTGCGGGACGGTGGGGTATGTGTGTTTGGTATGGCAGTCGACTGTAAGCCCTGGTTTTCGCGATTGATTGATTGATTGATTTATTGGTTGGACTAAAGAAATACACGGCCCTTTTATAGACCCTCCCGACCCTCCGAGTGTCGAGATAAAAGCTCTGCTTTCAACCGATCAAATGATTCCGCCCGGCCCGGTACCGGGGGCTAACGACAAAATCACTAAGACCGGAAAGCAATACGATATAGGAGGTGGGGGCCGGGTGGGCCACGAGCGGGTGCGTCGCTACGATCGTATCAAAAGCAGCATGGTGGTGATGCGCGATCAAGATTTGAGGGTGGTGAGGAGTAGACATCCTGTATTGCGGGGGGGAGTGTAGGTTCTTGGAGTCCACCTAAGAGCGTATTAGGGTGGGCTAGCCCTAATAATATCTTCGTCCTAGGTTTGTCATCGACAAGACATATTTCAAGATGTCAGCGAGCCTAGTCAGAAATGTTTGAGAAGCCGATGATGGAAGATTCTTTCCCTGTCTTGTTGCATTATGGCACAGGCAGTGTTTTTAGGACCATCGTTTCTCATTCGGGTCTCCTCGCTCTTTGGGCCCGCCCCGGTGCTCCACTATCCGAGGCAATTAACTATTAGCGTTGGGATCCGGGCTTCTGGGGCCACTTGCCCGGCGTAGGTTTGTGGTGTGAAATCACTCAATATCACTCGAGATGTAAAGTACCATTTGTCAAGAATTGTCCGAACAAGAGAGATGGTTTTGTTCAATTATTACCATGAGGGGTAAAGAAAAAAGGAGAGGAAGAAAAGGTAAGGAGAGTAAGTGAGACACTTCTGAAAGAAGCAAACATGGGCAAGCCATTGGGACGTACTCAAGTACCGGTATCATAATTTATATCATAGAAAGAAAACAAGGTCGGATCCACATTCAAACACCATTTTTAAACTCGAATGGGCAGATAAAACCCTATCCCTGCAGCTATGTTCTCTTGAGAAATTAGAGGCTAAGGAAACCTGATCCTATATAGATATTCCCCCTTTCACGCACTTACTCTTGGATAACTGAACTATGATACAAACAGTATCATAAACCCTCCGAAAAGCCATGGCAAGAAAAAAAAGAAAAATAGACTCTCCACACGACCTAACTCTCCGTCACTTCAAGGATTCGGCGGGTCGATGCGTCCCGCCCAATAGTGCCCAAACCTTAAGATGAGATCCAAAACGAACCCACAATTAAGCATCCTCACGAAACAAGGGGGAACGGGAAGAAACAAGCACAGGATAAAGCTCACCTGCGTTTTTTCGGATTAACCATCCCCCGACACCCCATATCCCTGCAAGTCCTCCTACTCCCCTCCCACTTCTGCCACCAAGTCCCCTCCTCGTTATCGTCCTGATTAATAAATCTATCCCAGTGCCCACCCTCATAGCAATATGGCTCTTCGTCCTCTGGCGCCATATGGCATTGCGAATCATAGTCCGTATAATCAAGGGAAAGCCCACAGCAAGTGAATTCACTGGTATCATAGTCGATATCTTCGAGCTTACCGTGGTGCTTTACTTGGCAGCCGACGTTGTATTCTTTGTCGAAGATTTCGTGGCAGTAGACGCAGTGTGCATATTTGTTAGATTCGGGAGTGGGGGGCCTGGCGGTAGCGGTGGTGGAGGATTTTCCTACCTCTGAGGTGATAATTGCTACGAGCTCAGCTTTGCTGAGGGAGAGGTGAAAGTTGAGTTGGGTTGCATTCTGGAAACGTTGGGCGAGTGATGAAATTGTTGGGATGGGTGATGCTACGCGTAGGGATGAGGGAGACGCGATGTCAACACGCCCGCGTTGAGTGGTACCGGTGTTGAGAAATAACGGTGCAGCAGGAGCTGAAGCCGGGGCAGCTGTGGGACCAGTACCGGTATCCGGAGGGGAGGAGAGGAGTTCGATTGCTTCGGCCATTGCGTTTAGAGTTGGGTACCGCAATGGGAACGATTAAAGAAGCGGGGGATTCTGCTGAGGTTAACTTGCACCTTGTCGGTATGAAGAGCGCGGTGGCATGAAAGTCTAACACTCCCTGCAATGGACATCTCGAGGTTTGAAGGGCTCCAACGCCAAGATGTCGATGCGCCACCCCAATTCAGCGGAGAAGCTTGAGTGCGCGGTGCGCATACCGAGATAGAAGTGCCCGGTCCTTCAGTTCCACTTCTCCTATCATAACTTGCCAGGAGTTCCGCATGTCAAGGAACTTGTTGTGTACCGTACAGTACCGGTACCGTACTTGACTGGGCCGTACTAGTACGGTAGTTCGGTAAATCCACGGGCTAAGTGCCCGAGCAAATTGGTTTGAGTATAAGTTTATGCCACTGGATCCGACAGGTCTCTCGACTTTTATCACGGTGAAGTCAGTTTTCGCCGATAGTACCAGTACAAGCAAACAAGCACCATTTAGCTCTTTCATTGGATAAAGTGTTTAGTATTGGTATGATATCACATTATATTCCTAGCAGGTATCTATAAATTCTTTGCATAAAGGTGCTATCTGCAATAGAGGTTTATATGATACCCGGGATAGCCGCCTTTCTGTATGGGAGAACGTCTTTGTTAAACTTTTCCCCGTACCACCGCTTTTGTTGGATCGCCCTGGAACAAAAACGTCAATACTCGATCCACCTAATGTTTTCTGCTCACCGGTTAGACTCGCAAGGGGATATTACCTTGGGAGCATGGTAGCGAGTTCGTTGGCCACAAATAGTGTGGCAGGAAGAAAGTTGGCGAACCCTCCTCCAGCAATTGCGAATCCACTCCACTCAATCCATTCAGAGAAGTACTGCACAAGCCAGGGAATTAGCATTTTGCGGGGTCTAGATCTGGTAATGGCGAGCAGGCATACATGCGGGTTCCAAACCCATTTAAATAGACCGCCTTCGGGGATCTTATAGACTCTCTCATTGCTCGTTACCACTCTACCCTCCTTTTCAGCATCCTTGTCGAAAGATTTGTCTCTTCTGATTTCTCGTAGGATCTCTTCGTGGTACATGTTCCCCCAGAGCCCCAGAATAAACATGGCGCTTCCGATCGAAATCTGCCAGCCAGGGACATCTGCGGCGGAACCATAACCACCCAGCCAGCCGCCAATTGCGGAACCGTTTATGATGTTGAACGAAACTCCCGCGCAAACCATGCCGATGTTCATGGGTCCCATCGACGGGTTTCTGTGTCATGAAAGTCAGATCCGGGCCTCAAATCTGTCTTGGTTCCACCAACCGTATAGGGCTGAGAAGTGCTCGGTAGAGGTAGTGAATGCAGTACAGAGTAGTAAGCCAGACATGAGTTTTTGGAAGCTCGCCGGTACGCTCAGGATTGGTATAGATTGTGTATAATAGTGTGAGCGGAGAGAAGAGCTCCATGAAAATCCATCCCGGTTTTCCTGCTCCAGGTCAGTAAGCTTCGACAGGAGAGAGGCGTGAAACTTGGGCTAAAGGCTCACCGGGTACGTTGAAGATGGAAGGGTACGAGGTTTTTCCGGCAGGATAGAACTCCGGGAGAGCCAACTGAAGTGGCGCGACCTGAATTGGGTCAGTTGCTGGTCAAGCTCGCATATGTTGCCAGGAAGACTGATCACATACCAGGGGAAAATACTTCCAACACCTCAAGAGAAGTTGCCACGCATCCCTAGTGAGAGGAAAAAGCCCTCCAGAGCGTAGGAAACCTATCATCTGGATGTTTGTTGGTTGTGTAAGAGTAGAGAGAGAGAGGGTTGAGGGGAAGAAGATGGGATAACAACACCGAGCAAGCGATCGGCCTCACTAGAAGAACAACCTGTCCGAGCACACCTATGATAATATTATGATCCTGATGTCCCGAATAAGAAGTCTATACTGTAATATTATGTTGATACATAGGAGATGGAGGCAAGGATCGGGCTCACCGATTAAGTTAGCCCTGTTGTTGCAATGAAGTAGAGTACTGAGTTGGTTAGAATGGCGGGAGTAATGTTGCTTCTTTTCCTCTTTTTTTTTATTGCTCTCCATATCTGAGTCTGTGGGGTCTGAATGCATATGAGGGCAAGATCGGTACTTTGTTATAGGGAATTGGGCTACCAGTATCGGGGATTTGGAACTATAAGAGTCTCCCAATGAGAGCAGTGACGGCTGCAGGCCGGCTTCCACAATGATCAAGAAGCGACTACGGTACTCCGGCATTTTAACTCCCTTGACTCCCCTGTCTTTCCCAACATGTCATCTGCACGGTCCTGAGGTCCCTTGTTATTGTCCCTGCCTCGGTCGATTTTTACTCCCATCTCCTGTACGAATAGTGCCCGAGTACTAGTACAGTACTCGCACCAGTGTTTCTCCCTTCCAATTGCTATCTAGATTGCGGCAAAGGAGTTTGGCAAAAGTTGGGCCCTAGCAGCCTTTGTGGTGCAACGGTGCTCTCGGCTTGGAATATTGGCTCATTATCCCTAGTTCTGATGCTTGTAACTACCGGGGGCAGGGGAATCTAATTCAGGGTTCAAACTTAAGCTACGAGTACGGTACGGCAGACGGTACCGTAGTGCACCATACCCTCCATTCGGGTGCAGTCCGAACGAGCAACCATGTCAAACTCGGGAGAGTCTGTGACAACTATGCTTCCCTCCCTTTCTCTGATACGGTCCCAGCTATCGTCCTTTACCGTCTCTTCAGCCTCTCTCAAATTAATCCATAGCACGGCTCCCCTTACCGTAGCTGCAAAGACACTGTTCGTACTGGATTCCTCGTTCAATCCACCGACGAAAGCACACCTGAACATTGCCCTCTCTTCCTTCAGAGATGATTCTACTGGATCGATCGAAGAAAAGCGGTTGCTGTTACTCCTCGCTACTCAGAATGCTGATAAAGGTTATTTCCTTCATCTGAAACCGAGAGCCGACAGTGCAGACGGGTTGATGCAGAGTGTTTTATAAGCCCCTAAACCGGCGTCCTTCGAGGAAAGGCTCTTGATGATATCTGTATTTGCGTCCGATATATTATCTTCGCTTGCACCCCTGTCGCCAGCTATCGACATAGCTGTTACCAAGCATGCCAGGTTTCTCGATAAGTCCGAGGAGTTGACCAAGCATTATTCCAATGTGACTGAGCAGGTATATTTGACCGGATACGACACCCTCATCCGCATTTTGGATACCAAATACTACCCGGTTACCTACACATTAAAGCCTCTAGAGAACTTTTTCCGGAGCAATCGCATCTGGTGTATGTATCGGCTTGGAGATCTGTGGGGCGGACGTGAGGGACAGGACGAGTACTTGAGAAATATCAGAAGTGGAAACAGAGAGGCAGAAGGCTGCAGGAGGGAATGGGCTGAAAGGATTAAATTTATTGTAAGTTGGGCTTTGAGGCGGACTTATTTCATTCCATAATCCTAGATCAGCATGATAAATGGAACACTAATGATAGGATTAGGAAAATGTGGGCAATACACCTATCAGCTCGACCAGAGTGAGAGAGGCCATTTGTAACAAGGAGGAGGGCGTTCTTGATGAACTATTGACGGAGGGAGTGAAGAACTGGCTACGTGACAGAGATGTTTATATAGGGCATTAAATTCATCTGGGAGAAGTTTCACCCGTGTTTTTATGATACTATAACTTGTTGGGTTTCCGCCTCCATTCAGTAAAGTGGGAGTGCAGTGGGATACTCTTCATTACCGGCAGCCGGTAAATTTACGTGTGGTAAAAACGTCTTCGAAAAAGTGTTGGCTGTGGCGCTTGTTATTATGGTCATCCTATGACGCGGTTAGAGCCGCAATCGCAACTAAACCGCGAGGGCACTCCACTACTACTATCCAGTATACTATATTCTCTAGCTCAAAAGATCCTTCTTTGCCTTTCGGCCCTCCATATACCCTTTGGTTTCCTTATCCTATAGAATCCCCACTATGACCTCGTACGTCCTCTCCCATTTGAAGTTTTCAAGGGCTAACCCCCGTCACTGACGACTTCTTTCCACTAATCTAGTTCCAATATTCTTCATGTAAAGTCTTCCTTGTCCTATGAACTGCACTTTCAAAGACCCCACAGACAAGCAGGTGCTTATGTTTCCCCCAAAGGTTCCGTTTCGAAAATCTGCCCCGCTTCAACTATCTACTGCCATCAAGCAGTATATCTCCACTAAGTATGATCAACACCCGGACATGTTTACCACCGACTTGGCAGCCATAGACAAGCTCAGGAGCGATGCTATCAACGTACAAGAAGCGCATGTGAGTGGAGTTATGAAGATCTCGGTATATGCAGCGCAGTTGCAGTGGATTAGCGGGAAGTTTCCTATAGATGTATGTGTGCCGGACTGGCTTTCAGGGGGAATTGGGGAGTCGAATGTGCTGATAGCTGGGGATATAGATTGGGGCGGATTTTACGTGGTATCCGGCACTAGGGTATAATACACAACGTCCGGGTGAGAGAATTGTATCGGTATGCGCGGCTATTTCTGGTGTAGCTAACTCTCACATAGTCACCCAAAATAACCTACAATTCGAGCGTGCAAACGTCCTCTATAATCTCGGATCCCTTTACTCCCAGTTGGCGTCCTCCTCTCCACGGACAACAGCCCAAGGCCTCAAAACAGCTTGCAACTACTTTTGCGCAGCCGCCGGTGTTTTCACGTATCTCAAGAAGGAGGTTCTCACAGAGCTCCGTAGCACTCCACCGGAAGACATGGATGCCGGCACTCTGGAGTCTTTGGAGATGCTGATGCTTGCTCAAGCGCAGGAGTGCTTTTGGCTAAAAGCGGCCGTGGATGGACATAAAGATAGTTTAGTTGCTAAGTTGGCGGCAATGGTCAGTGATTTTTACGACCTGGCTGGCGAATTTGGAATGAAGAGCGACTCGATCTCTTCGGAGTGGATGCACCACTTGTCAGCCAAACACCACCATTTCGCAGCGGCAGCGCAGTATAGAGCTGCCTGCGACTGCCTTGAAAGGTCGCTTTACGGGGAGGAAGTAGCTCGGCTGAAGGACTCCTTAGATGCGGTTAATGAAGCACTAAGGGGAGCGCGATATCTTAACAAAGTCGTTCTTGGTGATTTGCAAGGGCTCAAAGAGAAAGTCACCGAAACCCTGAAGGGTGCGGAAAAGGATAATGATCTACTATATTTCCAAGCAGTCCCACCAGCTTCTGAGTTGCCCAAGATACCTAGGGCTCCGATGGTGGAACCAAAGATTCCGAGGGAGGTCTCGGAGGCCGCTAATTTGCTTTCCGAAGGTGGCGCTTACGGGCCGCCACTGTTTTCCAAACTCGTCCCATTTGCGGTGCATCAGGCTGCAAGTATATATGCCGAGAGGAGAGACCGATTGGTTAACAATGTCCTTGCAGACAAGCTAGAGTCTCTAACCAACAAGCTACATGAGTAAGTTTTTAACACCTTAATTCTAATATAAGCTGGCGAAAGTTGACATTAAAACACCCAGGCTCCTCCGATCCCTCAATCTCCCCGGCTCCCTTCAGGCCCTGGAGAAACCACTGGGACTACCTCCTGGGCTTATGTCCCACGCAGAAGAAATAAAACAGCAAGGCGGAGTCGCGACGTTGTTGAAGTCTATGGATGATATTGCAAAATTGAAGGCCAATGATAATGCCATGTATCAGGAGGTGCTCTCTCCTCGCCTCTCGCTCACAAGATCAGCGCTAACTAGGACTCAGGCTGTCGAGATGCTAGACACCGAGGCAGCCGAAGACGAAAGGGCTAGAGGCAAGCATGGCACTGACCAATGGAACCGGGAGCCTTCCAGCCAGGCAGCGAGCAAACTCATGGCATCAGTCCAAGAGTATGCTGGTATTCTGAAAAGCGCGGACAATTCGGATGGCCTAGTCAAGGTGAAGCTAAACGAGTGCGAGAAGAGTTTAAGGCTTTTAGGTGGGGACATTGTAAGTATTTTGCATATCCCAGCTCGAATGTGCATTGAATCTGACTAATCATCGCCTTACAGCACTCTCTCCAAGACTTCGTCCCGAACTCCTCTAGAGCATCTTTAACACCCAAAATGGAACGTGAGGTTGCAAAACTCCGCCAATGCCTTAACGAAATTTCCCGCCTAGAATCCCGCAGAAGGCGCAAAATCGAGAGTCTTCGAGAAAAGGCCAAAGCCGACGACATTAGTAAATCTAACTTCTCCCTCCCTCACACAATCTCACTCGCTAACAACCCCCCCCAGCGAGCGCAATCCTAGCCGAGGCTGCGCGCCTAGAACGCGAAAGTCCCCTCCAAAAGCTCGAACCCGTCCACTTCGAGCCTCTCTTCGAATCCCGCCTTACAGCGAAATATGACGGCGAAAATACCCTGCTAAAGGAAGAAGCGGAAGTGCAAAAGGACATCATATCCCGCACCCAGGAAGCCAACTCCTCTTTCGCTGCCTGCAGGAAGGTGGACTCTTCACTAAAGGAACGAGAACAGGCGTTGCAAACCCTCGAAAATGCCCATAGCAAGTATCGTGAGATACTGGATAACTTGAATGCGGGGAGGAAGTTTTATAATGATTTGGCAAAATTACTGGCGAGGTTCCGGGATGAGTGCAAGGATTTTGTGTACCAGAGGAGGATAGAGGCGGGGCAATTTGAAGTGTTTGTTTTGCCATTCATCCATTCTTTTGCGTGGAGAGATAGGGTGAATACTGATTGGAGGGGGGAGTATAGTGAAATTACAAACGCGATGCAAGCCGTTCGGCTCTCACAGACCCCAATTTTGCAGCCGACCACACAACATTACCATCACCAATCCCCACCGCAGCAAAAGCTACAGCAACAGCAGCAGCATATACCACTGCAATCGCCGCCGTTGCCGGGTGTAGGACAGCAGCAGAGGCGGGTTCCGCCCGGAACACCTTTGCCGGCGCCGGTGCCCACTCGCGCCGCTATACCGCCGCTGTCGCCGGGGCTGTGGAAGGGTGATGCCACGACTGCTATTAGGTTTGCGGGGGAGCCGTCGAAGCGTTGATTGGTTGATCGATTGATTGACCGGGGTTGGGCTAGGCTATGGCGGATTAGCCTATGTTTGATAGTTGTTTGAATATACAAACTACGTTTTACACCTTATCATTGATGAGTTTGTAGGAATGTGCGTGTGTATGTGAGTTTATGTGTTGGTTAGGGGTGTATAGCCCTAAGGCAAAAGTGTTCGTGAGAACGTGAGATCTGACTAAGCGGATTTACGAACACTTTTGCCTAGGGACTGTAGGTGGTGGTGGTGTTTGCTCCGTGTGGCGGTACGGCGACTTACTATATCACAGACTGTAGGGGGGGCTAGTCCCAGGAGGCAACTACTCAAGAGGAGCTGCTGACGAAAACCTGCTATATTGTTTTAGCCAGTGTTTTCTATGCCTTATTGTACTCAAGGCTCAATCTCAAAAGTCTTGCCCGGACCCTCGAATGGAAATGTAAACTCATGCTTCAAGTCTCGATATCTCCCTCCCATTCATCACCTCTTCCCCACTTTCCTACATGCACCCACAAACACCACTTTCCCTGCTCAGTCAGAACCACCCCCCCAGTGTCCAAGCACAAATCGGCAAGAGGGGAAAGGTACCCACCATGCACAATATGGGATGTTCTTTTGCGATCCCCCACTCGGAAACCTCGCTTCAAGAGATATCGTATTGTACTACCATGGTCTGCATTCTGCAGATTGTCGAGTGAAATATAGGTGCGCAATAAAAATGGCTCACTTGCCCAAAGAGGGTGCCGTTCCGGGTACAAGGCATGAGGGTAGCATTCTGGAAGAAATATTTACCGCACGGGATGACGCCTTTTCAACGAGAACCCTTTTCAATATGATACCATGCTTTCTTGTGCATACCTTTCGGATACCACCAGCCTTGGCCGAGACGTACCGTCTAAAAGGTTTCAGGTATAATGGCAAGGGACGGCAAAATACTCGCAGACTGTCAACAATCCCTCTATTCCTCAAATGACCAAAATGGAGTTAAAAAAATTGCAGAAAAAAGCTGGAATAACTTGAAACCTCTGGATACGTTTCTTTTTTCAGTTTGTTTTTTGAACCCCCACCACCATTTTATGATGGGCTAAAGGTGAAGTAGTTCCTTGCAGGTGCTCCAATTTTTCGATCTTACATACTCGAGCATATTTTCTACCCCATGGTATCAAAAAGGTTTGTTGCCAAGCGCATGGTACTGAAATGGCTGACTAGTTCTAGGGATCTATAACTAGTATCATAGGTATCTGTGCTATGGGTGGGGTCAAAAACACTATTGGTGGAATCTTGGATCACTAAATATCACTCGTGAATGCGAACTAGAAATTCAATTGTAAATATCAACATAAGTTAGGAACGGCATGCCTACCAAGGCTGTTAGGTTGGATAGGCTACGACCCCAGGTGTCTTTGGGTACTCAATTTTTGTTGTCCACATTTACACTCACACTAAAATAAAATGTTTAGATCTAGGGGCTTCCCCCATCCACTTTATTGAAATATACTCGCTGTGCTAATTGTAACATCTTGCCCAATTACGTGAACATGATTAAGGATGGTCTGTAGCTGAGAGGAGATACCAGTTCCCAGATCACATGGTACCGTCTCTTCTTTGTCGCCCCCCGTAAGACTAAGGACAAAGATCTTCGAAAAATTACTGTCTACTTGGAATCCTTTGCTAACTTACGAGTGTGGTGATCAGTTGCTTTCGTTAGAAATTCCTTGTAAGCTTCCACGTTTTTCAAAACTTTCATTTCGTCGTCGGAAAGGTGTTGGCGGATCGCTTTCTCTATTTCAACTGTCGGGTCTGCGAGCCTACCGACCCATGCTGTGATAGATGGGGTGCTATATTTCTGTTAGTGTGAGGTATAGAAATTGAATGGGTTTAGATAGAGGTTGAGGGAGCTTACTTAAATAGAGGGGTAAGCTGTAAATGGAGCTTATAAGGGAATAGAGGCGGATTGAGTTTCGCATTTCCAAGATCACTATATTCCTTAGGCTGGGCCAACTCTCTTTCTCCATGTGCTGCTGGCTGAGTACCCACAGAATGAGAAACTTCTTTGGGTGCCGTTTGGGTAGACGGGCCCCCTTTGGGGTGCCCCGCTCTAACTTGGGTGATTTCTCGAAATTTCTCATGGGCGTTCTCCGCCTCGATGCGTCCTCTACCGTATGGATCGGTGTACTCATCAAGGCCATTTATTCCCTTGTCCCCACCTAGGCGCTCTCGGGTGAGCATTTTTTCCGCTTCATTTTGAGAGTGTTTCTTTTCCTGATGTTCCCCGAGAGGGTGGCCTTCCATACGTTGAGCCGCCAGGCGGCGAACTTCGGTTTGTTCGGCTTTTACTCGTTCATCATTTAGGAGCTTATCAAGGCGTTGCTTTTCGATAAGTTGCTGCTTCTCATAACGAAGTCGATCCAACCCGCGCTGCTTTTCTTTTTGGGGTTGCTCGTCCCCCTGGAGGGGCCCTTGTTGCCTTTTCTCTGTTCGATGGTTCTCTCGTCGCCGCTTCTCCAATCGCTGCTGTTCAAGACGCTCCGCTCCGAGTCGGAGTTCCTCCAAGTGCTTCTCCTCCTGACGCTTCTCCTCCTGGCGCTTCTCCTCCTGGCGCTTCTCCTCCTGGCGCTTCTCCTCCTGGCGCTTCTCCTCCTGGCGTTTCTCCTCCAGGCGTTTCTCCTCCTGGCGCTTCTCCTCCTGGCGCTTCTCTTCCTGGCGCTTCTCCTCCTGGCGTTTCTCCTCTTGCCACTGTTTTTCCAACCTCTGCTTCTCTTCAAGACGCTGTTCTTCTTGAAGGAGGTTCTCCTTCCGGAGTTCCACCTGGGGTTGCACATCAACCCTGTTCTTTAGAGCAAATTCGTCGGCGGCTTTTTTGTCTGCTTCCATTTCCGCGATTCTCTTCTGCTTCACCAGGAATTCATCATGCTCCATTTTTATTTTGAGGAAATCATCTGCCATCTTCTTACTTCTTGACTTTATATTTTGAAGTGAAGTCTTGAACTCGTACATTTTCACCATCTCCTCCGATAAGAGATTGTCTACCGCATTTATTTTGTCGGTGAGCGCCTTGAGACGAGTTTTGTTAAAGATTTCTTTGATCTCATAGTCGTGGCTGTCAAAGCTACACCCCAAAAGAGCACGAGTAGTTAGTTGCATCTCGTTTTCTAATGATTCAAATACGGTTCGTAGGTTGGTATTGGGTTTCGATTCGGGATTGCTATTTTTCCGGGACTTGAGACTTCCTGCATCAGAAGTATCACTCAGATTCCCATCAGAATCGCTACTGGCGTTCTGGGCGAGCTGAGACGCCACTTGCGCAATCTCATTAGTTTCCCGATTGGATATTTTCGCCTCTGCCACCACCGCACTTTGAGAAGCCAGTTCTTGTCTAGCTTCTCCGCTGTTGATTCCAAGAACAGTCGTAGGAGGAGCTTCAGCGAACTTCTCCAGCTCAGATTTATGAGAGGCAACATCAATCGATTGGGGAGAATCAATTTTACGTAGAGCGTGCGTGGTGGTGCTTGGTTTTAGGGTGGGCTGAATGTTCCAGCTTTTTCCCGTTTCTGCCTTCGGGGCCAGAGGGTCCATGGACTTATTTGCTCCGATTCTCGGCTGGATGTAGTCGTATAAATCTTGACCAGCGGTCATTAGATTCCCGGTGTGCCAGCTATTGAGAAAGTGTTAGAGCCGCAGTAGGAGGTTTAACAGCAAGTGGGAATATACTGATTAACACTGGGGTTATCTGGAACTTCTCTAGTGTCACGGGGGGAACCGAGTGAGCTCGAGCGAGCGAGCGAACTCAGAGTCACTAAGGGTGCACTGCCTGAGGCGGGCCTGGTGCGCTATTGTTAGTCAATCTTCATCATTATGAAGGAGATCACGTACATCGCTCTCTTAGGTGGGATTCCGTTCCCGTGCCCAACCGGCCTTCCCTGGAACGCTCTTCGTGGGTGCTGATCGCCTCGGATTTGGAGGCTTCTCGTGGCTTGGGAGGGGATGGTCTGTCCACGACCAAAGGGCGGTATTGGAGTGTCACTCCCCGACCTGTAATGAGGCCACTTGGGCGTATATTTCAACTTGGACTCTCTTATTGGTAGGTAATTTGGCCCAGCACGATAGCTTTGGCCTTCTCCAAGACCGTCGTTACGCTCGATTACCAAGCTTGGGTCAAAAAGCGCTATCGGTGTCAGTAGGATCAAAAAAAAGCCTCATTATCCTGACATGTTACCATAAGTGGCCGCCCAGGCCGTTGCCATTAAATCGAGATAACTGGGGGGCTTCTAACAAGAGTGGCAAGGAGAGAGACAAGAAGAAATACACCATGTGTGCTTACCTGCCCATGCTTCCATATGATCGCTCTTGAGTGCCATTTGAGCATTTTGAGCTCCTCCCTTCGCAGGATTCGGGGAGGAAGCAGTGCCCAATACTCGTGCTCCAGAAAGGGGTAAGTTGATGATACGGTGGTCTCCTAGGTCTTCCTAGAGCATGATTCAGCATACGGTGAAGAAGAGGTGGAGGCAATCAAGATTGATGACACTTACCATCATTTGAGAAATGGATTTTTCTTCCGACGTCGGGTTATGACGAGAATCTTGCTTAGAGAATGTAACCTTTGGCTTCTTGGAGATATGATCACCAGGTGTATCCATGTTGATAGAAGATATCGGGAGTGCTGGTTACAAGATGGGAAGTTTGTCCGGGGTAACTATCTATACAGAGAAGGGTTAATATGTTTGTAGAGAAATAAAATCAGGTCGAGGTAAATTTGGAATCGCAGGTGTCGGGGTGAGCTGACAATTTCTCGGGGAAGCCTTGTGGCAGGGAGTTTGATGGGAAAGGGGGGTTGAAGGAGTGCCCGGGGGGGATTTATAGAGCGCTTCTTTGGGAATTTGGGTGAAAAATGGAAATTTGTGCGTGTAAGGGAAAGGGGCGTGGAGATGCTGTTGAAGGTTAAAGGGCGATGGGAGATACGGATGGCTGGCGGCTGTGGGGAGTGGTCTTGCAGGAAAAGGAGAGGAGAGGGGGGAGGAGAGGAGAGGAAAGCAAAGGAAACAAGACTACAAGGAGTGACGCCTCAAAAGGTAGCCACATCAAGGCCCGAGCCATAATCGATGACGCGGCGTGTTTATTGCACATGCGGGGAGAAAAAATGGACGAGTAGGAGCTAGAAGACCCTTATGCTGCAGCCCTACCGTGTCTGAGGAGAGACAACGACATCAATTAAACTGTTGAAAGAGGCTTTCTGGGACGCAAAACAAGTATCAGTAGCTGGGTGCTTCTGGTTAAGTATGATGCAGTACCCTTGTCTCGCCCCTTCCACAGTGACCTTAGTTCAGGGCGATCGCCATCCACAAGCGTATATAATACGATACCTCGCACGAACTGACTGGAGCCGTAGGCCAAAGAAATTGGAACGACATAGAAGCATTAAGTCAATTCATGGAGACCTCAATGCTCGGAACGCTTTTGTATCCCCAAGGGCTCGTTGTGGTGTGGAATGCACATGATACATGACACTTATTCTCACCCTAATCTTCTGATTTGGAAAGCAGTCTCTATAGACACAATGTTGGTAAAATGTATCGTTGCAGAATATCACTCGATGAAATGACCCGTTGAAGGGCGGCTCTTTAGGGATTGAATGCTGTGAGTATAAACTAATTTAGGGGCCACTATAGCAGAGAAGGCCACAAGAATAGAGAAATAATCAGGGGCTTTGATGTATATAGTAGTCGAATTAGGGAAATTGCTTGTTAAAGATCCCAATTACTGGGCAAACCGGCAGCCCAAATATCCCCATTACAGCGGTAGTCTATTCTCCGTATTTACTATCTTACGAAATACTGTATCCACCCAATGGCTTCGTAATTGTGAGTCTCTATTATGATAGTACTGGTATTTAGTATTTTTTAATTGCTTGTATTATTTTAAGTTATTGCTTGTATGATAATACTACTGCATCATACTATACCCCGTTGAGCTTGAGGTCGACTCTTGGCGGGGTCGCTTAGTCCCACCATGGTGGAAGGAGGTTGCCAATTTTCACCCCACATTTTTCTTTACAGCCAATGGCCTCCGGTTGGTTCCTACTGACTCAGCAACTCACAACCTTTCAAACCCTAAACTCCAAGCCCCGGGGAAAAAAAATGCTTATGATACACCCTCACAAGGGCAACTTTTCACACCCCCCCACAGGAACCCACCCACATACGCGCCTCTCCTCTCCAACAAACGGGAAATAACCATAAACTCTTGGGGTCAAGGCTAGAGCCGATTCCAGGAATAGAAAACAATAGCTTACAAGCTCTGAAAAATGCTCTCTGCTCGATTGGCTCGTGCTAGGGGCTGCAAGGTGCGCATTTCCCCTCAATCAGACAGATTCCTAACTCACTGTGGCACCACCGAATTGACATGTATAATTCTAAGCAGATTAAGGCACTCTCGTATAACCAGCCACCCCGCCGCAATTTCGCTATCCCTGCCACAAATTCAAACTTCTCAGTTCATCCCGAGATAGCTGCACGAACCCCACCATATGAAAAACTTATAAAGAACCTCACAGAGGTCCGCCGAGTCCTTGGGACACAAGGGCTCACACTTGCGGAAAAAATTCTTTATTCCCATCTCGACAATGTTGAGGACAGTCTTGGTGGCCGGGATGGCAAGATTCGCGGGGAGGCACACCTGAAACTCAAAGTGGATCGGGTGGCAATGCAAGATGCTAGTGCTCAGATGGCCCTTTTACAATTCATGACCTGTGGCCTTGGAGAGACCGCCGTCCCGGCATCAATTCATTGCGACCACATGATTGTTGGAGAGAAAGGAGCAGATGTCGATCTCCCTCGGAGTATTGACGGCAATAAAGAAATATTTGATTTTCTGGGGTCCGCGGCTAAGAGGTTTGGAATTCAGTTCTGGGCGCCAGGGTCGGGAATTATCCACCAGATTGTGTTGGAAAATTATGCGGCTCCCGGGTTGATGATGCTCGGGACAGACTCTCGTGAGTGGAGTTAGACCCTAAATTGATGGCATTCCAGCCCGCTAACAAGGCCGATAGATACCCCTAACGGAGGAGGACTTGGAGCAATTGCCATCGGTGTTGGTGGCGTCGATGCAGTTGACGCATTGGTTGATGCTCCTTGGGAACTTCGTGTAAGATCCGACTCCCTACAGCGGGGGGTAAAAATATGTTCACATTTTTAGTAAACCCAAACACCTAAAAAATGTGAACGTATTTCTGCTTCCGTTGTACTACCACTAATTAAACTAATAAATTTTTAGGCACCCAAAATACTTGGAGTTCGCCTAGAGGGTGAATTAGGTGGATGGGCAACACCGAAGGATGTTATACTTAATATAGCTGGGAAATTGACTGTTCGGGTAAGTTCTTGCGCACCCTACGAGTAGCGTTTCGTCTGATCTTTCGATAGGGAGGTACAGGTTACATTATCGAATATCATGGGCCTGGAGTGGAAACTCTCAGTTGCACGGGCATGGCTACAATTTGTAATATGGGAGCGTACGTATCCGCCTTGCCTGACTTAATCTCTAGCTTCTGATGCCCAATATAGTGAAGTAGGAGCGACCACCTCTTTATTTCCATTCACCTCCAAAATGGCCTCTTACCTAAATTCTACCCGCCGAGCTCCGATTGCAGAAGCCGCGGAAGAAACGAACATATCCCACAGTTTCCTCCGCGCGGACACAAACGCAGTCTACGACCAGATGATCACAATCAACTTATCAGAACTAGAGCCGCACATCAATGGACCTTTCACACCGGATCTTTCCACACCGCTCTCTAAATTCAAGGATGCCGTTAAAAAGAATAAGTGGCCAGAGCAATTATCCGCCGGTTTGATCGGTTCCTGCACCAACAGTTCTTATCAAGACATGCTTAGGGCTGAGGACCTGGTTAATCAGGCAGAAGCTGCCGGATTGAAGCCTAAGGTGGACTTCTTTGTTACTCCGGGCAGTGAGCAGATTAGGGCTACCCTGGAGCGGGATGAGACACTGGACATTTTCGAGAAGGCTGGCGGAACTGTTTTGGCAAATGCCTGTGGACCTTGGTATGTTGCATGGGATATCACTCGATGGGACATGTTTCCTAATCTCTAATATAGCATTGGTCAATGGGAGAGGAGCGGCATCTCGAAGGTATGCTCCAATCATACCCTCCCAACTAAAAATAGCAAGTGCTAAGTCCGAGACATAGGATGATACAAACGCAATTCTTACCTCATACAACAGAAACTTCCGTGCGAGAAATGACGGAAACTCACAGACAATGAACTTTCTGGCATCCCCCGAGGTATAATATGTCCCCGCCCATACTTCTGGATCCCCACTCTAATACTCTCTAGATCGTAACGGCGATGATTTACTCCGGCGACATGTCCTTCAACCCAATAACTGACACACTCCCCACCCCATCCGGCCACCCCTTCAAATTCAGCGCTCCCTCTGGTTCTGAACTCCCCTCCCAAGGCTTCGAGCTCGGAAACCTCGCCTTCATTCCTAACAACTCCGCACCCTCCCCTTCCACACCCGTTGTTGTCTCCCCAACTTCCTCCCGCCTTGCCCTTCTTGAGCCCTTTGAACCATTCGGCATCACGGATCTAAAAGGGTTAAAAGTCCTCTTCAAAGTCAAAGGGAAATGCACAACAGACCACATCTCTGCTGCTGGCTCCTGGCTAAAATACAAGGGCCACCTAGAAAACATCTCAAATAACACCTTAATTGGTGCGATGAACGCGGAAACCGGGGAGGTGAATAAAGCGTACGACGCCAACGGTGACGCCTTCTCTATTCCAGACCTCGCCCGGCGCTGGAAAGCGCAGGGCGTGTCCTGGCTGGTTGTCGCAGAGAATAACTACGGCGAAGGATCAGCCAGGGAGCACGCAGCGCTGCAGCCAAGGTACTTGGGCGGGAAGATTATCCTAGCAAAGTCGTTTGCGAGAATCCACGAGACAAACTTGAAGAAGCAGGGCGTTGTGCCATTGATATTTGCTAACGAGGCGGACTACGGCTTGATTAGTTCCTGCGACAGCGTTGATACGGTAGGGCTATACGATATGCTGGTCAATGGTGGGGATGGCGAGGTGTTCCTAGATGTTACCAAGAGAGTGGATGGGAGTAGACATAGGATTCCCGTCAAGCACACTTTTAGCAAGGATCAGGCTGGGTTTGTACTTGCTGGATCGGCGTTGAATTTATTATCCAAGAGGGCAGCTACCGCTTGACAGTCCCGTGGGAGATGTCTCTACTGGAGATTTTCTATCACATTTTTTTGTTTATATGTTTCTGTTTCCATTATTCCTCTTGAGAGATGAGCTTCTTTTTGTTGAATGGTCTGAGACAATTTGGGGGGGTCAACCTTGTTCTTTAGCTTTGAGATCGTGTTACCTCCAATACAATACTCTCGCAGGTGATGGAGGCCAGTGGTTTGATTAAATTGATATTTTTTCCTTAAACGGGATGCGATTTATATAGAGCGGTTGATGTGAGATAGCAATGCCTAATAAATCTTAGATCACCACATCTGAGGTGGTCGTAACTGTCAATTATTTCGCCTTAAGCTCCACGCTCTCACCGCTCTTTTTTTCGCAGCTTGGCACATCTTCTCGGTGCCGAGAGAGAAAAAAATCAGAAATGTTCTATGGCTTATCCTCTATGCGCATAAATCAGCTATGATAGTAATCAAGATAAAAACTGTGTACCCTCTGCATACCCTCTGACATCTCTTAATACAACCGAATGACAACGGGTGATCCACTAAATATAACCTTCCCCATGACTTTATCTCTCGCCAAAGGCCTCAAATCCCCTACCCGTGAGGCACATGTCTAAACCCCTCATTCATATCGCCAAGTATAGCTCCACCCGTAAGCCCTCCACTTCTCGAAGACAAGATATCATTCACAACCCCCGTCAACGCAGTAGCAGCATGTCGGGGTGTAGATCTCAATTGCCTCTTGTACCTATGGTATTCGACCGTCTGGGCTACGTCGAACACTACCAGGAGCAGTGCAAAAACCCTTAATACTCCTAATCAGCAACGAGGGAGTTAATATAGCATCATTCTAAAGTGCCGAGTACCAAAGCTCAAGAGTCATCACTGCAAAGGCAACCTCAGGATCACACACTGCCTCGCAGAAGATAAACCGCGTGATGCTGAACATGATCACGCATAGATCAACGAGGTCCATAATAGTTTGGAAACTTGCCATGTGTCAGCCAGCCACCCCCTCCCCTACACTCAGTCAATTTTACCAAAAAAACTTAAACCCCGACCTCTGACAGCAATCCACCACAACACCAATCAAGGCCGTGCCCATCGAAAGAATCCCCTAACCCCAGTCTCCATAGTAAGTTATCAAACCCTATCTACACAGCCAAGTGAAGAGAGGGGAGGGGACAAACCGGCAAAACATCGAGAAAAACCTCTTTATCCCAAGGGTTCATCCGGATACTCTCGTGATGCATGATTATGAGCGCCGAGCCGAACGTGAATGAGAGTATGCGGATGCAGAAGAGGCACCAGCCCCATTTCACGATGCGGTGTTCAAGGAGCTGTTGCTGAAGGCATTCTCTTGCCTTCAGGGTGCGGGTGAGGGTTTGGGGGGTCATTGTTTGGGATGGGGGTGGAGAGCGGGGTGGGGAGGAGGGTGAATTGGTGCTCATTTTGAGAGGGATGAGATGAGAATGAAAGGTATCATAGTCGAGGTGGGTGGGGGAAGAGAGGGGGGGTGAAGAGGAGTGAGCGGATTTTAGGAGGCGGAGTTTGGAGGAAATAGAGGAGTACGTGGGCAGGTTGGCGATTTGATGGGGGGACAGATTGGCTTGCTGTAGGCCGCGTGGATTTAGCAAACAGTATAATATTATTATATAGATAGATAGAGTATGATGTACTACCATTTTCACCCCCCGGGGATCACATCCACAGCAAGCTTGATCTCTCTTTCCAAATTTTCACATGTACTATACCGCCCAAAGAGGACACACAGCCACTCAATCCAAATCTTTCAATACATAACAAATGGGCTATAATACACCAAAAATCTCAGCCATCTGGGAACATCACTACCCATCCAGCTGGCGGGGCCCAATGACCAGTGTTGATGTTCACTCCCTATCCAACCACCCCCCCAACCACATAAGAAAAAAGAAAGAAAAAACTAATTATGATACTACCTATTACACACCCCCAGTGGCGGGTTGAACCTCCAACCTTCCCACTAGCAGCGAGTCGTGGGCTACCTAATTTAACCACTAGGCCATGGGCGCCAATCGGCAACTTCACGCCCCCTCTGAGACTTGGTAGTAAACGGGACAGACTAACTTTGCCTTTGGTTTTAGTCGCGACGTCGGATATAGAGGGCATTGCGTGGAGGTGACCACCTGGATGTGGTTATTTCCTTGCTCGGCACCCGCTCTCTTCTAAGCTTGTCTTCAGACACCTATAATCTATTGCTTGTCTAAGGTCAGGTGGATTAACTCAAAGCTACCTATTTCGATTCCGCCCGCTCCCTGTAAAGTACCGGTGCCTACCTGTCGCGTCCCAAATATCATCTAGAGAGTAACTTATACACACGAAAATCACGCCCAATCCTCCACCCGTCAGGCACGGCTTCGCTACAGTATCGGTAATACCGACTTCAGCAGCCGCTCCGAACTGTGAGTGCAATACTGTACTCGAGTAGTAGTAAATGTAGTAGACTTGGCGAACCGCCCGCACCTCCAAAAGCTACCCTACCTATCATTCCTTACCCCAACAGCTAAGCAAATCCAAAATTTCCTAGAAGCACAAACTGAACAACAGGGATGATCCTCCCACTATCTTCACCGTCGGTCCGATTCGAAATGCTTAACTGTCTATCATACTATACCTCACCTCCACCTCCCCCCCCACCCCCAAACCCTACATACCCTTCTCCCCCTAATTCAAAACCAGACTCTAAATCATTGACCTCTCACCTCCCGCGAGGAGGTATCATTACGCTATATGTGACGTGACAATGACATATCGCCCCCCTGCACAAAAACCATATATCACCCCTCCCTCCCATCGACTCTCGTGAGTCGCAAGCAGCATACGCCCTCACAGCAGACCTCCCCATCCTCTCCGATAAGCAAACTCTACAGCTAGAGCTCACGGCCTTGAAGACACCGAGTATTCACAGACATCTGGAGCCCCCGCAGTTATCCACCGCTGCTGCTGCTGCTACAGAGCGGCGGGTGTGATAACGTACGCATGGGGACGCGGGGAGGAGTGCATTGGGGAGCGCCGAGGTACTGGCTAAAAGAGAGGTGATTCGGAGAGTTCCGGAGATGTTTCGTGCTTCCGGCCGAGGCGGAGGTAGATGCGGTCAAGGCTGGTTTTGGGGCATGGCGTTTTGAGATATTTTGCCGAAGAGGGAGGGCTGGAGTTTGTAGGAGGGTGGAGATCACTCAAAGGGACCCATGCTATTGTAAATTAAATCCGTATAATAAGTTACGTATTTTAGGCGGGGTTGTCAAAGTTTTCATAGTCTATCACTCACTACAGTACTCAAAATCGGACGTCACTAATTTACGGGAAAGAAATCAATCCTGGGCTACTTTGTTTATTGTAGTACGTAAATTTTTCCCTCCTAAATGTCTCGGGAATAAATACCGACTAAGGGGGGGGGGAAGAGGGAAGAGACAAAAATGGTCAGGAATCAAGAAGGAAACGAGAGAAGGCCTATAAACAACCCAAGAAAATGCAAGCTTTACCGACCTTCAAAATATTATTTGCGCCCAGGATTAGTGCCCTCCTGGAGGATGATACCCGCTGCCCCCTGTAGGCTGGTACTGAGATGGTGGGGGCGTTCCCTGGTATGAGCCTCCGGTGGGGGCAGATGGGTTGAATGGGCCACCTTGATAACTTCCAGGGGCACCGTAACTCGGGGGCCCAGAAGTAGGAGGAGGGGATTGATAGCCACCAGGGCCACTATGAGGAGGATAACTACCGGGTCCACCAGGTCTGTCAGGTCCACCGGGAGAGGCCTGGTAAGTACTTGGGTTGTATTGCGCCGGGGATGGGGCCCCATACTGTACTGGGGGGGGTGGATAGTTCTGGAGAGGAGGTGGGTACTGGCCTGGAGCTGGGTACCCTCCTTGAGGAGATGGAGCACCATAAGAGGCCGGGTTTTGTTGGCCAACTGTACCTGAGAACTGTTGGTTTGGTGCGCCAGTATGGTAATACTGCTGATGAGGTGCATGAGGATTTGCGTTATACGAAGGGTTGGAAGGGTTTGGCGAAGGGCTAGATCCGTGGTATCCAAGGCCCTGCTATTGAGGTTGTCAACCGTAATGTTAGCACCAACCCTGGATCTTCTCGTTCGTGTCTAATAACACACCTGTCCAGGCTGCCCGTGACTGCCTTGACCATGGGTCTGTTGAGCTCCGTGAGCTCCACCTCCCAACAAGCCTCCAACGATCCCACCCAACTGGCCGAGACCACCAGACGGTGAGCCATGGCCCGTGGAACCATGACTAGAAGAACCATGGGTGGAAGTACTGTGTCCGGGGGAGCTTCCATGCGGCTTCTTTCCTCCCAATAATCCGCCCGCTATAGTACTTGCCTGGCCAAGAAGTCCACCTCCACCGCTGCCGTGTCCGCCACTGCCGTGCCCGCTACTACCATGTCCAGAGGCGGAGTGTTTCCCACCTCCCAGCAAACCAGATGCCAATGAACCAAGGCCTCCGCCACTAGATCCGTGGCTTGTTTTTCCACCGCTCAGCAAATTTTGTGCCAAACCACCTGCAATTCCCCCCAGGCCGCCAGCGCGGGCGGATGTTTGTCCGTCAGGTTGGGGAGAAGGGTTGCTATAACCCGGTTGAACGGGGCCCTGACCTCCAGTAGTGTAATCTGTCGGTGGCGCAGGGTAGCTGCTCGGGGTAGAAGGAGCAGGGGTAGAAGGAGCCGAAGAGGTAGGGACATCCCAAGTAGTATGAGCCGTTGAAGTCTGGACATAATAGTAACGTTGGGTCTTGGGATCCCATTGAGCGATCCTAGGGCCAATCGTTAGCTATACTTTCGTAGGATATATCTGAAGAAAGAAGGAAATTCCCGGGAAAGGACCTACCACCCGTGCGGAAGATGGGGAGGAGAAAAACTGGGCCCGGTTGCATTCGGGGAAGCAGCGGGGTTAGGTGGGCTAGGTGCCATGGTTATGTGCACGTAGGGTAATTGAGAGTGCGGGGTTTGTTTGATAGAGAATCAAAAGGATAGAAGATAAAAAGGGGAAGATGGAAAGTAAAGGGTTATTGTGTCGGCTGATGAGGGAAGAATGGGGAGGAGAAGAGAGGGAGAAGATGAGAAGAGAAAGAAGGAGAACACAACAAATAAGAGCAGAAGAGGGGTGGGTAGGGAGAGTTGTGCAGCAGGGTATCATACACAGTACCGAAAATGTACTGTATGATAATCCAGGTGCACCGACCCTTCTATGTATGATATTATGATATGATACAAGTAGTAAGCAGGGCAACACGAGACGGTCGGGCAGTGCAACACCTGTCCCAGCGGACCCTTCCTCCTTCCTACTCGCCATTTTGTGTTCATGATTAATTTTCATACCAACTTCGACGGGTAATTAAATTTTAATTATTGGATCCCTATCCGCACATAGAGATACGATAGTAATTCCCTCTCTTTCCCTCCCCTTCTCCCAAGACTGCATGTCATACGGGGCATCTCATGCTGCATCTTCTCATCGCATCTGTCTAACTATGATACTCGTAGTCTACCGCGCTCCGGACTCCACACCTCCCCCCTCTCCGGCTGAGGTCATCGAGCCGTTCGTGCGTAACAATGATAAAAGCACGTAGGGTAGGGCAGGGCATAATGTTTGTGCCCTTCACCGTTCTCGAGGGCAAAAGCGAGCTGAAACTGAGGGAATAAGCCATCCATCAATCAGGGACCCGGGGCATCCCTTTCCCCACCCACCCCCACCTTCCAGGATCCCAACAATAAGGCAGCGAACCCATCGTACTGTAGAGGCTGAAGCCTTGCATCCGCGACACTCATAGTGCAGAGTTATGGTATTCGTATAGGTATGGCGCAGTGTACTCGAGTAGGCACAAGCACCGTAGCCTCTACTCGAGTACGGGAGAGAAGTCCATCCTTCCTCCCAAATTCCAATAGTCTACTTTTGAGTGCTCTAACCCAAGCCCTCTTACAGCAACGTACTCCAAGTATCATAACAAGCCACGATGCCGATCCCGCGATGCTGCGCCCGAAATAGCTACGTTTTCCCCTCTACCGCACTATGCGGACTATTGTTGCCGGTGTTCCGGAGGAATTCCATGGCAATACCTGTGCACCTGAAGGGTAGACACAGCACTGCCACAGCGCCACACTCTCTGACGAACCACGATTCCAGCCCCTTGGTTAAAAAACAACCGGCAAATGTACTAGTACTCGTACTTATACTCGAGTACCACAGACTATGTACGAGTATTCGTACCCCTCTGTGGCGTGCCAGGGGGTTGAGCCAGGGGAGGTTACGCCAAGGCTTTATATACCTTGGCACACCCAAATCTAACGTCTCAGGCCCTCAAAGTCTTATCCTGATCATACCCCGCCGTAATTGACTAGATTGGGATCTCGTACCGTAGGTCAGTCCAAGAACACCATCGGTTGCTCAAGTATCATAATATTATGATATAGTATCGTAGATGGCATGCTTCAAAGGTGCCCTAAAGCACTGACATCGGGAAAAATCCTTTGGACAACGCGGCCTATCGCTACCGGTATCTCGTCGGATTGGTAATTGAATGCCGGCAAAGTATCGTATAGTACCATACTCCTCTGATACCGAAATATCGTAGCCACAGGCAAAGAACCCGAACCAAGGAACCCGAACCCCATAGATGTCTCCGACCCATGGGGTCCCACCGATACCCCGAGCAGAATTTTGCCTTAGCCCGACGCTCATAACACAGCAATACTACCCACCGCCGCCTGAGCAGCTGACATGATACCCCTCGCAACTTCTGCCTCAGCTGCTGACCCCGTCCTCCATCTCCCAAGCTTCTACCGGTATACTATCTCCTTCCTCCACGCAACACGCGGCCACCATCAAACAATCCACAAAATTTACCCCAACCGCCTTCCCCTCCAAATTATCCTTTCCAAGCACCGCCGAAATATCGGTAGACTAGTCATGCCGACCACAGCCCCGAGCTCAATCCCATCTCTATCTCTTCCGACGTGCTCCAATGCCACAACCGCAGCAACCTCTATATCAGAGCTTTCTCTAAACGACACTTACACACCACGATACATAGACGTAGGAATCAACCTCACATCCCCAGTGTTCCGTGGGAGTGACAACGGCAAACAGGTTTGTCCCCATCTTCCTTCCCCGCCGCAATAACTACCCTCAAAATAACGATGTAAAAGTACCACGAAGATGATCTGGAAGACGTACTCCAGAGGGCCAAAGACGCCGGCTGCCAAAAGCTGATGGTTACAGGCTCCTGTTACGATGAGAGCAAGAGCGGATACGAGCTCGCTCAGCAACATCGTACTCGCCCTACCCTTTTCATATCCTATGCCTGTGCTAACCCAATCCCAGCCGGCCTAATCTACAGCACCGTGGGCGTCCACCCCTGCAGCGTCAGGCGGATCGAGTCCCACCCCTCCGGCCCAGAAACCTACCTCTCCTCCCTCCGCACCTTAGCCCAAGAAGGCGCATCATCTGGGTACGTAGCCGCCTTTGGTGAGATCGGTCTCGACTACGACCGCCTCTACCACGCATCCAAGGAGGACCAAAAGAAGTATTTCGCCCTGCAGCTCGATCTAGCAGAGGAAATTGGACTGCCTCTGTTTCTGCATTCCCGTGCCGCGGCAGCGGACTTTGAGGATATACTGTTCCCAAGATTACCCAGACTGAAGGGCGGCCTCGTGCATAGCTTTACCGGAACGGTGGATGAGATGCGTAGGCTTGTTACTGCGGGATTATACGTTGGTGTTAATGGGTGTAGTTTGAAGACTGAGGAGAATTTGGAGGTTGTGAAGCAAATTCCGTTAGAGAGGTTGATGCTTGAGACTGATGTACATCCCCTTCCCCTCTTCCTCCCCTTCCACCAGCGGAGGATAGTCGATGGCGAAGTAACCGAGCTTGACTAGGGACCATGGTGCGAGATTCGACCCTCGCACGCTTCTTACAAGTTTTTGAACAAAGATGAAAGCCCACCAGCCCCAAGGCAGGTCCGCCGCGATAGGTTCAAGAAAGGCTTTATGGTTAAGGGCCGAAACGAGCCTTGCAATATCCCGCACGTGGCATACATCGTTGCGGCAGTCAAGGGGCTTCCACTGAAGGAGGTTTGCGAGGCTGCATGGAAGAATACCCTAGATTTGTTTGGCATGGACAAAACGGCATAAACCAAGTTTCGACTCCGTGCCGGACATTAGATTGTGATCTGCGCTTCGTTGCACGGGCACTGGCGTTTACTGTAAGAAGCCCACCGTATGAACTTTCACTCTTCTTTTAGCACGAACAAGCACGCACACATGTGTGCGAGTGTCCAATAAGAGCATCGTAAATTTCTGGAATCACACAAATTCACTTTCTCCGCAAGGCCCAGACAAGCATCTGATGTACGGAATATACCGGTACTGTACGGTACCCGAAATTGTGAAAACAAATTTATCCCACAAAACCTGAGAAGGAAACATGAGCAATCAATCGACACGGAATTTTAGCATGAGTGAGAAGCAGGAATGAAGAAAAGTAATTTGCTTTCTCTAATTCGCAAAAAAAACAAAAAAAAACTACGCGCCCATAACACTATAGCCAAGAATCAACAAAACAATGACAAAATGTAGAAAGTAAAGTATAAAGACAGAAAGAGGAGGAGCCGTAAACAGGTGGCCTGGGTTTGGTATTTTCATGTCCCCCCGTCCCTTTTTTTTTTTTAACTTTTAACCATCGTCAATCATTTCCACCCCTTTTGTCTTTCAAGCTCTCCCTCTTGCTCCTTCATTTCATGGCGGGAATCCGCACCCCGCGCTGTAACCACTGCATTCAAGACACCACATCCAGGAAGGCAAACACGACACCAAGTATAATATGAGCGGGCTACAGGAAGACAACGTAGGAAGAGCAACAAAACAACAGCAAGTAAAACTGATTCTGCTCAACGTTATAAGAGAAAATTCATTAAGATCCGTTTCTCCATTTCCCTCTTTGCGAGCTTAAAGGAAAAAGAAAACCCGAAAAGCAATGAACCAGACTAGGAAAAAAAGGAAACCGACCCTATTGACCAGTGGCTGCACGCCCTTCAAGAGACAAGCAAATACAAAGCATAATAGAGAAACTAAGATCGGCCCGGAAAACAAGCAGCAGAAACTACAGCCTTTACACTCCGCCGCCCTATCAAGGGCATCGACAGGGAGGCTCTACTTCGCAACTGTAGACTCTCCTTTCTGCTCAGTCGATTCTGGGTTTGTCCCTTGAGTCTTTGAAGATATGTCAATCTTCTCGTTCTCTTTTCCCTTTTCCGGTTTAGACTCATCCTTCACTTTCTCGTCCCCCTCCTTCGTTTCCTCACCCTCCTCTCTCTTCTCCGTTGCAACGATTCGTTCTAATGCCTCGTCATCATTTTCTTCCTCCTTTCCCGGCTCATCGTCAAACATCTCCGCATCATCCGAGTCAGTCAAAACCTCAGTCCCGTCGCCGAGCATGATAATACGGCCAGCTCCACCTGTAGAACGTACAGAGCTATTGGACTCTCTAACATCAAACTCATCCGGGATATCGTCAAAGTTGGAAGGATGAACACCAGGTCCACGGAACTCAGCTACCCACCATATGTTAAACCAAATTATACTTTCATAATAAATTTTAGGCAGCGCTCCGGCTTACCATATTCTGGAGGGGCGCATGGGCCATCCCCATCGGCAACCCGCTTCGCAATCAAATCATACCATTCCTCCTTAGTCATATTCCTAAGGAGAGCGACAACAATCATGGTCATATTGTCGCAACCAACTCCACCAGTCTCACTACTTGAGGCAAGGCAGTTATCCATCATGTTTTCACAAATAGTATGCAGTTCTTGCTTGGCAGCAATACCACGACGGACAAACTCAATAACCGCCTGAGACGATTGGCAATCCCAGATTCCTGATACCGGCGTCAGCATTAACAACCCCACGTCGGCCGTATTTCCCGGGGAATCGCACCATCACAAGCAATGACAAGGAATTCGTCATCATCGGAAACCTCATGAATAACCACATCGGGGAAAGCGGTAACTATCTGCTGTTCAGGCGGAAGGTCGGCGCTTCTCTTGAATTCGAAATCCCCAATCGCTCTAGACAATGCAAGGTTGCCATTAACTCGCCCAAAGTCAACAAACCCACCAGCGGCACATATTCTGGCCTTCTCTCCTAAAATTTTGGAAAATCAGTCATCTGTCTCAAAAGTGTTTTGCAAAAAACAGTCAAACCAACCCTCATTCTGTGGCTTATGATCAAAAGACAAGGGCTTCGCTCTGCCCTTTACGCCCAGAACCGTCCGAGAATCGCCGGCATTCGCCTTTCTACCATTAGCATTTAGATAAGGTGTGGTTCTTGAGCTATACTTACAACATAAATTTTGGTATCGGAAATAAGAGCAGTAGAAGCTGTGCACCCGGAAACCTCATCATTATACTGGGGATCTAAACAATCAAATGGCAACCATTAGTTATTTTCCAACCCCAACGAGCCAACAAAAAGGCTAGCCAGCAGATAAGCACCAATGAATCACCTTGCAAAATAGCTCTATCAGTAGCTAAAAAACCATCCTTTAACGCCTGTTCGTAATTGGAGTCATTAAACGCAGATTGTTTCGCCAATATCTTGTGAACATTTTCTCCGCTGAACATCGCAACCTTATCTCCGCCGTGACCATCGTATACGCCAAAAAAACTTATTCTGCCCTCGGGGCCAGCCTTGCTCGGGTCGTCGGGCTTCTGGAGGTCAAGGACTGCTGCATGAGCATCTTCCATAGTGACGCGCCATCCTTGCATAGACGATACGCCATAGGCTAAACGGTTGTCTTCACCACTCTCTGATATCTATCCGATTTGACAAGAAAAAACTTTGCGTCAGGAACTAAGGCTTTCTTTCATCCTTTCATCATCATGAACCACAACGGTCAGAAGCATCCCCATTGCATGTAGCACGTACCTTTTCCACCACTGGTTCTGAAAGAGTCTGACCCATGATAATGTTCTGTTGAATCTAACGAGGGAAAAAGTAGTCTGCTTCGAAGGTTATTAGTAAATAGGCAAATGATAGGAACTTCTAAAAGATCAAGCCTCAATAGGCCAAGCTGAAGGTTCTATCGAAGAAGCAAAATCAAGGAACGAAGCAAGTCATTATCTCAAGGGGAAACAACAAGAAGAGAAAGAAGGAAGAAAAAACTTAATGCAGGGAAGGGGGGGGATGGGAGTACAAACAGTGTTGAGTATTTCTCGACAGAGTCCACCTGTGTTGATGTTGGTGATTGGAAGGTTTGAAAGGGGTGTTGAGAAGGAACTGGGGGATGGATGGCGGGGGAGGGGAAGAGAGAAGAAAGGGCTTTGAGTGCGTCAAGAAAGTCTGTGCGGCCTTGAAACGGAACAACACCCAAAAGTCAGAAGAAGGAAGCGAAAATTGGTAAAAAAAAATCAAGCAACGACAACCGAACGAGTGACAAGGAGGCTAAGAAGGGCCAGAAAAAGAGGAGTAATTTTTTCTAATTAAAAATTAAAAATCTGATGGAGAGAAGGAATGAGGAAAAAAAGTAAGAGTTAAAACCACCTGTAATGGTGAACCAGGAAGGAAGAAACCTGCCAGGGGCGTTGTTGCGTGAAACCTTGAACCAGAAGAAGGTAGAGATATGAGTTTTTTTTTAAAAAAAAAAACCCCCCAGGCAGAATAGGATAAGGCTACGATAACTCCTGTGAAATTCATGACGAGATATTCACCTTAGATTAGGCACACTAGAGCTAACGGAACCCTATTTAGGGTTTTTTTGGTTTTGGTTTTGGTTTTTCCTCTTAAATTTTTTCTCTCCACTCTCTTCTTCACTTGAACGTTGTTGCGGTCGCGTGCACCGTTTCCGGGAAAGAAGAAACTAAACCACCGAGAAGTAACGGTGAAAGGACTAGATTGGCTTGAGTAAAAGAAAACAAAAAAGGTACCGGTACGGAAAATTGAAATCAGGAAACAAACCAAGGCTCAAAGATTGTCTCCCTGGGGGTTTTTGACGTTTGCTTTTTTTTCCCTTCCCTTGCTGTATGAAAAAATGTGGAGATGTGCAGTTGCAAGGAGTGGGGTGGTGGCAGGTGGCTCACTTAGAAATTTCTTATCTGGGGAAAGGGTTGGACAATTCCTGGAAACCAAAATTATAATGCAGCAAAGTACCGGTATTCTACTTACATTTCGCAATTCAAAAGAGCCATTATTCCCACTCGTAGGATACTATAATATTATTATATAGTATATTGTGCAAGACATTCCCTGAGAGTACGGTAACGTTGTCTATTCAGAAAGATGGGGCAAAAAAAGGGGGTCCAGACTGTGGCCAAAGATACCACATTTGCAGAAGCTCCCCTGGCAAAACAGCCGCGGTACCCCAACTGGATACGACATGATATATCGACAGCAACTTACCTGCAACCTGGTGTCGGGAACACACTTAATTATCGATCCGTCGTTCAAGAAAGCTGTCGCCTTGTCGAGTGGTATGGGAAAAAAGGAGAAGCAGGCATGCCTCCTCCCTTACTTCTCTCCCTTCCTATGTCCCTTTTTCCAACAATTGTGGGCCAGGCTGCCATGCAGTATGAGTAGCATTACTACACCGTTTTGCTCTCCCACAGCCCACAGAACAGACAGCAGATTGATCACAGTACAGTGCCGTGCCGGTAGAACAGACAGGAGGTGAGGCAGGGACTCCTCACGAGGAAACCGGAAGAAGGGAAAAAAAGGAAAAAGCACGGTACCACAGAAGAGCAGACAGAAAGGCTGCTTTCTCCAGTCTGGGGCAGATATCATATTTACCGGTACCTATCATCATCATCATCTCTCTCTCTCTGCCCCTCAAGAATACCGGTAACCTATGTCTAGGCTTGTTGAAACCCATAGTTCAAAAAAGTAAGCACCTCAAACATGTTGTATCAGCGCCGATACAAGCTATTGTACTAGTACATGTACAAGTACTTGGACGATACCGTCCCGTGCTCGTACTACCGGTATCATATACTCGAGTACAGTACATGTAAACTTTCGATCAATCACGACTCACCGGTAGCTGCCAACGAGCTCACACATCTACCCCACAAAACCCCTCCCCCTAGCTAGTAATCCACCACCCCGCAGCTAAAACATGGCGATAGAATTTAGCGCCCACGACATCACTTGCTACTTGCCGTAAGAACTAGAGAATTTGGCCATAGATCTCAATTCTCACTGTCCAGAGTACCGTGCCGGTTGCCATGTACATTATCATGTATGGGATATTATGTATTATATAGTATGCGATGTGTGCAACAACTACCAATTCAATTGAAATTCAGAGTTGCCGCAGAAGCGTTCTATGGCTCGCAAGAGGTGAACATTTCAAAAGGGCTAATACCACCAAACGTGCCTCTCCTATCACATGATTATTTTGCTATAGATTCGAATGCAACACTGGTTACCAATACCGGTATCATACATTCGTCCCAGGCCCCTCCATAGCCCTATACAGATTCCCCTTCTCCCCTTTCAGCCTTTAATAATTATAGATCATCAGCTGCCAATCTCGGTTCCGGGGTGCTGAATCCTAAGAACCCTGGCTCCAAAATTGTCCGTGCCAAGTGCAAGACGACGCCTGTCTCCTCCAACAAAAAAAAAAAAGAAAGAAAAAATTAATGAATGTGGATGATCGGCAATACGACACCTCACGAAATGATAAACGAGTGAAAGGAGAGTGAGAGGGAAACAAGACTGGAGGGTATTAAAAAAAAAAAAAGAGAAGACGCAACAAGGATGTACTTCATCCTACCGTTTCCAAGGTAGGGAAAGGGTCGGAAAAAGAAAGGAAAGCAAAGTTACAAAAATGCCATATCCCCTGGAAAACTGCTCTTGATGTTACCATCTCCCATATTGTCCTCGCTGATACTAATAGGCCGCTTCTTGGTGAAATCTACTAGCTTTGCACGTGGCAGCACTCCTTCCCCCCCAGTCCTTTCGGAGACTCCAGAATGTCGTGCATTCTCACAGCTTCTGCCTGAAATCCTCAACCCTTCCACCTTGGCTGCAGCAGACGTCACGGCAACCCCAAATTCAATTGGCTCGTATTGATAATACGAGGACGTACCCTGGCTCAGGGCGGTTATCCCACTTTCCCGAGACTGACTCGGATGCCAGACTCGTCGGCTGCTCTCGTCAGTCATGTGCGAGAAGCCGGGGTCGCTTTCGTTCCCCATACTTCCCATCGGGTATTGCCGCAAGTTCGAAAACGACGAGGACGCTCCAACGTTCCCGGGGCGGCGGGTGCTTTCATATCGCCGGAGTGGTGTTTCTGGCAGGTTGATAGAGGAATAGGTACCGATAGTCCTTGTCTGGCTTGGCTCGCGACTTATGGCTCGTATAACGTCGTCTATAAGACTCTCTTGATCCTCAAGCTCTTCTTCTCTTGGTGAAGCCATATCACCCAACGGCATCTTCGAGATCCCCCTCCAGGCATTTACCGAGCCTGCGAAGAATGGTGAGGATCCTTTTGGTCGGCCGAAGCCCAACCGCTCCCGCTCTTCGCTCACCTCGGACCCAGCGCCAACTAACCTAATACTAGGATGATCGAGATGATTGACTTGGCCGATCTGAGTTATTTGATTGAATATCTCTGTCGAGACTGTCTCGAAAGAGCCATCGCTCTCTCTCAACCCCCGCCCGCCTCCTGCCCACTGGGCTGGGTTTGTGATACTTTTTCTCCATGATCTCTTAGGAACCCCATATCCCGGTGGTCCACCATAGGGCGGTTTCCCATTGCCTGGGGCAAGTGAGAGCCGACGACTACTGGTTACGCTTGAGGGTCTTCGGTCCATACTTTTACCGCTCAACTTTCGAGATAAACGGCCATATTTTTGTTGAGAATTTGGCCTTGCACGTCGAGTCGAAGCAAGTATCGAGAAGTTGACGGGTGCTAAAGGAGCTGTCCCGTCCTGCCTTTCAGGGGGTGCTGGGGCTTTGCCTGCTGGTGGGTGAGGTGGCGGCTCAGGTGCGGGGGCCTTTGGCGATCCCCCAAGTCGTAACACTGCCCCGCCATCGCTACCGCTGCTCGGGGAGGCTAAGAAACCTCCAGATATACCACCATTTTCACCTGCCGTGAAATAGCCAAAGGAAGACAACCTTCCCAATGGTGGCGATGTATCCTTCTTCTTTACAGTGATTGCTCCAAAGGGTTGTGGGAGCGGTTCGAGAGGACGAGAAATATCCACACCTGCCGGTGACATCGGGCGAATCGAGGAACCTGCGTAAGAGTTGCAGTTTTCCCTGCGGACGATGCAACACCAAATAATCAAGAAGCTAGCAATCACTAAAAGTGGCAGTACTGTAGCCAGAACGATGAGTAGAACCTTTTTGCGGTTGTTCTCCGCGGACTCGGCATTCGTAGTCTTTTTTTTCGAGGTGTCCTTAGGAGTTGGAGTTGATGTAGGTGAGGTTTTCTTCGTAGCGGATGTGACCGATGTAGCAGATATTGAAATTGTGTCATCCTTAGTCACCAGCATCTCTAGGCTCCGAGAGTCTGCCAAATCTCCAGACGAAGTCCTTGCCGAAAGCCTGATTTTCACCGATTGTAGATCCTCAGGAGCACGGCCGCTAAATTTAAATTCCTCAGGATCGAAAGAAATCCAATCCACCGCCGGTTCATAAGTCGCAGAAAGTCGAACACCACCAACAGCAATCAGGGTCTTGTTGAGCATATGCTCAAAGTCCCTGCCACTGGTTACGTTGAAGCCTGGAATATCAAAGGTGAATACTCCCGATTTCACATTAATGTTGATAGCCATCTCCGCATCACCTCCGAAAGCATCCTTGGCGGATATAGTGATTGTCGTAGACTCCGCCCCTGGCGGAGGCATACCACTTAGCACGCGAGTATTTTTATCGAACGATAGCCAGCCTGACGCATTTGTGGATACCCTAGTTAGGTTCTCTAGCGAAATTGGCGTGCCATCGAATAGAACTGACTCGAGTGGAATTTTGTAGGTGAACGCACTGTCCGTAGTTGCATTCGCCTCCATATAGGTGTCATTAAAATAAAGAGTATGCGCCCCTATTACCATTTTGAAAGATACAAACGCCCCCATAAATCCAGGATAGTCAGATGCCACAAGAGTGATATCAAATGTTTGCGGGGAAGCGATCAAAGAAGTGATGTCAGGCGTGGTCCCAGAAAACCTCATCATCCCCTGATCAAAGTTTATCCATGAAGGAAGAGGTCTGTTTTCCGAAGAAACCGCTTCATAGCGTTGAATCCTATCGCGTGGAGAAAAGGTATCAGGTGCAAAGGAGAAATCGTATCTTTGCCCGGGAGCGAAAACCAGTCCCCGTTTGCCATCTGTTGGCCCAAAAATCTCGAGCTGTGAACCGACAGTTTTCACCACCTTTATTCCAGGCTCTGTCGATACAATAAAGACAGCTTCATGATCTACGGATTCCCCTAAAGTATCCCGAGCCTTTATCTTCACTTTGAAGGGGCCGGAATCCTTCTCTGACGGAATCCCATAGAGCTTTCGACTACTACTGTCAAGTTGTAGCCATTCAGGGCCATCGTTCAGTGCGAACTGTATAGGTTGCGCATTCGATATGAATGTCGACGATGAGAACACGAACTCGAAAGGTTTAGCGGCCCGAGCAACCGGCGGTACTTGCGAGTTTATCGGAAAGGCCACAAAAGGTGCACCAATAGCCACCGGGGAAAAGAAAAGGAATAATAGCAAAGACATATGAAGGAGTGAGCGGCCTCTGTATGAACGATTAGTTAACTATTTCAACTACCTTCTGGACAAAAGTACTTGCCCCCCAAGCCTTCCAATTATATCCGAGTCAATATATATCCAATAAACCCCAGAGAAATATGGAAAATAAGTCCAAAAAGAAAGGCAATAAATGACTGGACCGTTCGTCAAAAAGACGGACTAGAGATCGCGCGAAGTAGCCCAAAAGGAGTGTGGGAATAAACGAAGGAGGAGGTTTTCTTGACAAAAAGAGCGTCTGATAGGGGAAAGAGAGCGAAAGAGAGTGAAAGAGAATCTCGGAACGATGCCTCGAGAACCCGGGAGGGAGGACTACATAGACGAAGTCCATTAAGTTCTCCCATCCTGAAGACTCCCCCTTACGTAGTTGTTCAAAACCTAAGGAACGCAAACCTGAGGACCCCATGGTTGTGAGGCGAATCCCACTATGCGGGAAGATACTGCCACTCATCACAATTGAAGAAAGGTCGTTGCCCCCCATACCTGGTGTGTGGAATGGCATGGGGTTCAGTGCAGACTGATGTAAGGGGCCCCCCAGGAAGCCAAATCCATCGCCAGAAGTAACCCCACCGAGAAATCCCCAAGGGCGAGGGCCCCCAGAACGGGTAACTTAAAAAAAAAAATAAGCGTAGCCATGCTGACGATTGCTAACTCGCCAGAGTAACCTCCATCCTGATACCATGGCGTCCAGTGGAGTAGTAGTCATTCACAGTCTCTCTCTCCTCAAACCCACATGAAAGGTAAAGCCTTCGTGCAGCCTCCTTATCTATATCAACCCATAAGTCCACTTTCTCTGCTCCACCTTTCCTGAGCTCAGAGAGCACAAGGCCAAGCATCCATTTCCCAACTCCTTTTCCTCTCTGCTCCTCAACAACGCAGACTTTATGTATGCGTGTGATTAGCTTCGAGCGGACAAAGACGATATACCCATATAACTCCAAATCCCTAGAGTCCCCTACGCCCCCCCTGAGTGCGCAATAGAAATGTGTAGTCCGCTTAGCAAGCTCGCTATCAAAATCGAAAATCTCACCGGCAGGGAAGGTTCGTTTCTCAACCTGTTTCACAGAGCGAAGTAGTGGATCCGAAGAATTGCGCAGCTTCTTTGCTGGAGGTTTCACAAAGCTCAGTTCAGTGAAATTCATAACAAACGATATCGCCTACTTCCTAGATTCGCTGTCTGGAGGATCCAAAAAAAAAAGTATGATACGGTCTGCGGTATCGATGCGTGGAGGTTTCCGTACGAGTAGAATCGACGCGGCGAACTTTTTGTGGGTCTTGTGGCTTGGCATCTCAAAAAGGTCCCCTACCTTTAACCACCATCCACCATTTACCCTGCAAGAATAATTGATAACCCCCGAAATGGACCAATTAATAACCAAATCACTAACTCAAACAAAACCCTTCAGATAATTTCAATGAGATCTATTCACTGCTTTCTCCTGAAATATCCTTTAAACCGCTAAAGGACAATCCAAATGAGTATGACTTACCAGTAGCCACCCTCCCTTATGCGCTGCAATACTCTCACCTTGTGCTCACCAGGCGTCAAAAATGTATGATAAGATTAGGTAGAAGACCAGGATACTCGAGTACGAGTACAGTAGACCCGTCCTATTGCTAGTCCTGGCAGCAGTGGATCCAGGAGGGTTTCTCGGACCCCTATTGCCCCCAATGCTCTCTATGTATCATAGCCTGATAGACGCCCATCTCCGGGTGTGCAAAGGCCACCAATGGTCCAAATCCGAGTGCTATCCTATGTCTGCCAAGATCCCTGACCCTCCTCAGGGTCCTTCTCAACCCCGCAATCCAACCATCCAAGTCTCAAGAGCACCCCACCAAACATTTTTACACAATACTGGTATGGACCTCTTTTGCGACAATAGCGACAGTGAGGTTGAGCCCTTCGGTGCAGATCTAGTCGAACCCGCACCAATCCTCAAACCCCGCATCATAGAAACAACATTCCACGGCCTCCTCTCCTCGCCGATAAAACTACATGAGGACCTCGCCAAGGGTTGCGGTGGGCAGATCTGGCCTGCTGGTGAAACGCTTGCGAAGTATCTCTTACGTCGCTACGGGCGTGGCAATAATGGGTTGAGGGGGAAGAGGATTGTCGAACTAGGTGCCGGGGGTGGATTGGTTGGGTTAGTATTGTCAAGAGTAGCCGTTCATTTGCTGGTCGGAGAGCTGATAGGGGTTTAGGCTTGCGATCACGGCAGGGTGCGATATCTTCGGGAGCGAACTTTACATCACGGATATGGAGGCCATGATGGAGATGATGGCGAGGAACGTGGCATTGAATGGGTTTGAGGACAGGGTCAAGGTTCAGCTACTAGATTGGTAAGATATGGTGTCTGCTGGACAATGCTGAGTAGCTTCTTATATTCCCTGCCATAGGAGTGGACCCATACCCGAGCCGATATCACAGACGCCTGTGGATATTATTCTAGCTGCCGACTGCGTACATACGACCCAAGATCTTTTTCGTCGATTGTTTGCTAGTATTGACCACAATTACTACAGGTTTATTTCGAGCCGGCATTTCCCCTACTTGAGAAGACACTGTAAGTGATAGGCTTAGGAGACTGTGTTTATTGACATCACGATCTAATATCCAGCAGAATTGACCTAATCGGGGAAGAGACGGTAGTCTTCTTTTCCTTTAAAAAGAGAAGACGGGTGAGTAATGCGTGCACGCTCCCAATAACTACGTCCGAATAGCTAACCATCACCCGAAAGGCCGACTTGACTTTCATGAAATCCATTAGGAAAAAGCTAAATGTTCGAGAAGCTCGCAATGATCCTGAATACGCAAAAGACGATATAGACCATGCAACATATTCACGAGAAAACCTTTATCTGTATTTCCCTACCATTAAATTCCCCCTTGCCCGGGATTGTGGGTTCCGTTTGCTAACATAAAATACAAGGTATATTATGACGAGAAAAAAATAGAGAACTCGCCTAGCCTAGACCCCGAAGATAACCTTATGCCCATAGCTATCCAATGTAATACTGTATGATACCAAGTTAGACGCTGAGCACCACACTCTTAAGCCACTTATTATATCAACACCCCCTGCAACAATCCCCGGCTCCTCTTCAACAAAGAAGTACTAGTAACCGCACCATTCCCAATACCCCCACCCGTCAACAACAGCCCCTTACTTCCAACCCATTATTTTCAAATCCCTCGATATTGTACTCGGGCACAGTACCAACACCAGGCACCTCGATCCTCCTCCCATCCCTTTGATTCTCTTCATCTTGCGGTGCATCAAGGCCCTGGCACGGCAGTTAGCGCAACTAGCTTTGACAATTCTTGAACTCGTGAAGTATTTCCTATATCACGATTCCCCCTTCCAGTCCTGGGGACGTCAATCCCCATGCCGCAATCGGACTCTCTGTTTTTACGTGCCGGGTAAGGCGCAGCTAAAAACGGCCTAAATTACATATAGCTTACACGTGAGTATCACTACCCGTTTCGAATTTAGGAAGCTTGCCAGTGGAAAGAAAGACCCCACGAGGTTCTTCGGATCCGCAAGAGACTGTTATTGAACAATCGACGGGGCGATGTCCAATACGGTAGTGCCGTTGCAAGGGTCTCAAAATTGGGGCTCGCTCCCACGTGGACGGTGAGTCCGTGTGCCATCCTTGCGCCATGGTCGTTTCCAATAAGAACCATCAGCTGTTTTGTCTGGTCGGCTTTCGGGAGGCCGAGTGTTTTAACCAGCGCTCCGAGAGCATCCGAGCCAACGGGCACCTTTGAGCGTGCTTTTGTATCCTCCGGCGAGGAGTCCTTTGTGCTCTCGCTATAGTCTGGTATCTTCATATCCCACACCCCATCATTAGGATCTCCGTGTCACGCGAAGTAGGGGCCTCGTAGACCATATACAGTACATCCGGGATGAACAACGGGAGACTCCTGGGAAGTAGAGGTATCAAGTACTGGAGCCTGCCAATCCCAGAGTGAGATTCCGTGAGCGCGAACGGAATGCAATGACGGACATGAACGTTCTGCCGACGTAAGTGTGAGTCCTGAAGAAAGTGGCTCGAGTCCACTTGCGATTGGGCATCCGTGTTACCATGTATTCATGTAGAGAGACTAAGACAAGCAACTCCTAAGCTGCGTCGAGGTGGCGGTTCCTTGAGCGGACTACAACCCTAGATGTAGCAGTTGCCTTTACAGCGGGACTAGGGAGTGAAGGCACAACACTCTCCAGAAGAAATTGCTGGTCAGTTGCTTGGTGTCCAGTTTTTTAGTTGGGAATACCAGTATGTAGAAACTAGTGGGTCTAAAGGCACTATGAATAGCTCACTCTCAATTGATTGCTTGAGCAGGGTTTTGATATCGCGGGGTCGTGGGGCCCGGTCCAGATAGCAGTTATTCGTCCATACGCACCGGTCGACAAGGCTTCCTATTCCCCTTCCGGGGCGTCGACTAACCCACACAAGAGAACCCCGTGGTTGCAACTTCCGAGTGGGTTCATGTTGGTATTTCACATGAAGTAAATTTAGTGGTTCAGCAGTAAGACGCGGGGAAAGCTGAGAATACGAATGGACCGAGATACAGTGTCCTAATAACCTATCACCACATGCCGAAAATACACAATCAATGCTTGGTCACGACCAAGTGATCCAATAACAGAACCTAGATTCTTATGAGAAGCCAAATGTGCTCCTTCAATCAATGCTAGACAAAGTGGTAGAAGCAAGTATTGAGTTTGCATGGTATATATCATAGCCATTCATCATACCGCCCTCGCCAAAACACCAACTATACACTACGCAGGCAATGTTAATTGTTAATCATGCCTCTATAACTCCAAAATGACAAAAGGCTGGGCCGCCGCAACGAGTGACTACCTGTGGATGTGCCTGTGTCACTTGTGTAACGCCAAAAGTTTCCGTTCCGTTCGAAGATCCTTCTAACCTGGCACTGGCGCCGCAACACCACACAAACAACCGGTTCTCAAGGAGCAGACAGAGCTCAAAAAATGCCTTGAAATGACAAGCAACGACTGCTCCAACACTTCTGGCCTCCTCCATAGCTCACCCGAACTCGCCGAAACAAACTCACTGCTATCCACCAGGAGCAGCAGCTCATCCGACGACCTTGTCGTCGCCATTCCACCACCACAGCCTACCCCTTCTCCAATACCTCCTATAGCCCCCGTCCCACGAACGCCCAACAGAGTACGGTTTGCGTTAGATGAGGCCCCTGGTGACGAAGAGGAACAGAGGGTAGACGATAGGAGTTGGACTAATCAAGAGGACTTCCTGCACTCGGACGAGGAGGACGGAGATGAGAGTAGGGGGGGGACCAGAGCTCCGCTGTTAACAGGGATAGAAGCCCCGTCTGTTACCGTCGCAAATGACTTTGAATTTGAGGATCTACTAGAGAATGCACGGCCAAAGAGCGGCATGCGGATGGCTTTCATGAACATGGCAAATAGTATTATTGGCGCTGGGATCATTGGTGAGCCTCCTTTCCCCCCCGGCCTGGAGCCGCAAATTGATCTGTGATTGCTCTAGGCCAACCGTATGCATTCCGGCAAGCTGGGCTTGGGATGGGTATATTCCTTCTCGTAGCTTTAACAATTACAGTAAGACCACTAGAACCCACACAGTGCCTGTTATGCAGCTGACTGGGAATGCAGGTCGACTGGACAATCAACCTGATTGTAATAAATTCCAAGTTGAGTGGCGCAAATTCTTTTCAGGCGACAGTGAGCGCATGCTTTGGAAGGCCGGGCTTGATTGCTATATCGGTAAGCTCCTGATCTTGCTTATATCTGCCCCGTATAGCTAATTTTGACCGTAGGTTGCGCAATGGGCATTGTGAGTTCATTGTATCCCGCTAAGATTGCACGCCAATAAGCTCCCTAACAGAATTATGCGTTTAGTGCCTTCGGTGGCATGATTGCCTTTTGTATTATCGTGGGCGACACAATACCTCACGTTATATCTGCATTGTTTCCGTCGCTGGAGGGCGTGCCTATTCTGGGTTTGTTGACGGACCGCCGGGCGTGTATTATCATATTCATTTTAGGGATTTCATACCCGTTGTCACTATATAGGGATATTGCAAAGGTATCTACTGCACGCGCACATTCTGGGAGATCACGGTTGACAATGTGGCGATAGCTGGCCAAAGCGAGTGCTATGGCACTCGTCAGCATGCTTGTCATCATCTTGACTGTGGCCACTCAAGGCTTCAGAGTACCTCCTGAGAACAAAGGTGGTTTCAGTAAATCATTGTTAACAGTCAATGACGGAGTATTCCAAGCAATTGGTGTAATATCATTCGGTAAATGCCTCGAAACCTAATAGCATCATTCGCTTTTACTGACCGAATTACTCTAGCTTTCGTCTGTCGTAAGTTCCATCACAATTCCAGATTGCCAGGGTTCGCCCTAATTATACCCCATAGACCACAACAGTCTCCTCATCTATGGATCCCTCAAAGAGCCTACATTGGACAGATTTGCCCGAGTAACACACTACTCGACGGGAATCTCCATGGTGGCTTGCCTCCTCATGGCCGTGGCCGGCTTCCTTACATTCGGTGACAAGACTGCCGGAAACGTCCTAAACAACTTCCCAACAAACAACATAATGGTCAACATTGCCAGATTGTAATTTCCCCACCACCCACCCCACACTACCTCTCAGAAAGCAGTCTCACTAACACCCACTGCAGCTGCTTCGGCCTAAACATGCTCACAACCCTTCCCCTGGAAGCCTTCGTCTGCCGCGAGGTGATGGAAACCTACTACTTCCCCGGCGAGCCCTTCAACATGAACCGCCACTTGATATTCTCCTCCGCACTAGTAGTCTCTGCGATGGCGCTGTCACTAATGACTTGCGACCTCGGCGTCGTGTTCGAGCTTATCGGGGCTACGTCTGCGTGCGCACTCGCGTATATCCTGCCACCGCTGTGTTACATGAAGCTTGCGTCGCGGTCATGGAGGACGTATGCTGCCGGTGCGACGGTAGCATTCGGAGTTGTGGTCATGACGACCTCGGTGTTACAGAGCGTTTATAAGATAATTTCGGGGAGCGGGGGGCCGACGACTTGTTAGGAGAGGAAATGGTTATTGGGTTCTTGAGTTCTTGGGATTGGATTCTGGAGTGTATGCATAGAGTAATCAAACGGTGCTTTGTGCTTGAGATATCATGTAGTTTTTTTCTTTTTTTCTCGGGGGGGGTAGTCTGCGCTGTACGATACTAGAATTCTATCCTTTTCATTCTTCTATCAGTCAGGAGGGGGATGTTAGGCTGCCATTGGTGACGGCGAAGGGCAGAGGGGAAATACCAAGAGCGATATCTCGGGTTATATAAGAGACCATTTAGGTATATTAGGTATATTTAACCTCAGGATCCCCGTATCCTACCCCCACAGATCTGAACTGGACTATCAACAAACCGTGATTTCCAGCAAACCGAACAAAAGAAAAAGAAAAAAGAATAATACAACGCCCATCACTCAAACACCCCCAGAGCTCAAGAAAAAAATCGTGAAATTTTTTTTTTTTACCTCCCACCAAATATCATAATACTACACACCCTAACTAACCGCGCACTACCGGATCCTAGTATCCAACGCCAATCTCTCCGCAACCTCCAAATCACACATACCCCTCATCAACTCCTTAAACACCTTCAACTCACCAGTGCCGGTATTAATGCTCTCAACATCCTGATGACTTTGCACCCTGACGGCGGCCTTGAGGACCCAAGACCCGGCCGGGTCGAGGGGCTGCAACCCGGACGTCGGGTAGGGGTTTCCGTACTGCACGTTGGGGGCAGCAGGGAGTGGAGGAGGGGGGGGGGGGAGGAGAACCTGGCTCAGCGTGATAATAATGTTATTGTGTATCAGCGTCGACACCGTCATGAAGTAAGTCGTTTGTAACCTTTCAAATTCTTAGCAAAACCCAAGAAAGACTAGGAGGAGGTGGTGGGCGGAACAAACATGAACCCCAAACTGTCCACCAACCCCAACGCATCCCCCTCGCCAAACCCAGCGCCGAGCACATTCCTTGAGGTAACCGGCCTCCTCGTAACCTCTGGAATGTCCTCCAATCTCATACGCCATTTCTGGCTCTTCACGTCGTATCCATTCTTGCCTTCCTCTTCCTCCTCCTGTTTTTGCTCCCCAGGTACGATAGAGATCAGTTGTAGGTAGTACAGCTCCGCGTTCTGTCCCGGCTGGCGTGGCCGTTTGGGCTTGTAGACTAGATGGTGCTCCAGCGTGGTTTCCGGGAGCATGCCGGTTATGCCCGAGATTACGCGGAGAATTTGCGGCTGTCGAGCGGCGGGGATATGAGAGTAGAGAGAGAGCTCATGGTAAGTGCTCTGAGCATACGGGGGGTGGGATGGTGGCGGCATTTTGTTGTTGCTATTTCTGCTGCTGTGGTGGTGGTGGGAAGGTAGGTAGTTGGGATCGGGCCCACGGGAGGGAGATGGAAATGGTTGAAGTTTGAAGTGTTGGAGACGGGGAAACCTTTTTCCGGCTACGAAGATAGCTCAATGAGTTTGCTTGTCCAAAGGAATGAATGGGCGAGGGTCAGGACTCAAGAGTATTGTTGTTGCTGTAACTACTGGTTCTCGGTAACGAACACTAATAGGCTGCCGGTAGGTAGTGTTGGACAAATAATAAACTTGCTAACTTTTATAAGAGACATTCGTCAATCAAAATGTGGAAGAAATAATTACACGAGTATGATAGATTCTGGTCATTCAATCGAAAGTTATACTACCCAGCCCAATGAATGGTAGAGAGAAATCCAACACCACTCCAAAATCTAGCCAACTTGCTCATGCCTCCTCCCCACGCTTCACCCCACTACTATTTACTAGACTACCCAACCTATTACTATCGCCCATAGCTTACCGGTTCCAAACTAGCAACCAAACCTCTGGTTACCATATGTTCGACAATTTATTGCCCCTACCATGTCCGGCATGATCCAGTACCATACCAGTATCACACAACCGGCAACCAATAGCAACCAAACACCAATAACAGCGAACCAACGAATGCCAACCCAAGGCATTATTGTATAGATATAACCGATTAAGTTACAGCAATGGGGAATAGCAATATTAGACCGCCACCCATCACTGAACTTTCTATTAGCTCTCATGCCCCAACCAAATGCTCAAGTTCAAACCATCAAACTTCTTTCCTTTTCTATGCCGGCCCCATGGAACTAGATTTCTCACAAACTAGCGGCCAGAATATGCACGGACAAATCTTACAATATGATACCTAAAAATCACCTTCCCCATAAACAAAAATAAAAAATAAAAAATAAAAAAAAGAATTGGAAACTTATTACCTTCGCTGCTCCGAGAGATAAAGGCTCGCTCGGAAACACGAAAAAATAAAAATAAAATAAAATAAAATAAAGCAAAGCAAAGCAACAGACCGGTTACATAAAACGCGCAACTGAAGCAAAATAAGCTACAGAGAGATTAAAAAGGGAAGCAAAAGAAACTTTCAACCACACCAAACACCCGGTTCCAAAAAGCAAACTGATACAGAAAAGATACAATAAGACAAATATGACAGCGAAGAAAGGGGACGAAAAAATATGATGTAACGCCATAAGTATATTTTCAGTCTCACTTCCCATTTATTTGCAAGATTGGGGTCGTCCTACTACCCTTCCTCCTTCCGGTCCCGTGAACCACCACAGGCACTTGTCTCGGCTGCTTTGGAGGCTCCTTCATCAAAGTAGGATCAAGTTTTGAGGGCACTAGAACACACAAGTTAGAATCAATAATGTTAGAAGCAGGATTAGTGGACTACCATACTTCTGTTAGTCGCGACCGTAGTTTCTGAGCGATGCCTAGAACTGGATCCTGTAGAAATAGCTCCGGTGGTTTGCCATATATGTTCCGAAGTATCCTGTAGATAATTGATACCTATAAATCGACATACAAGTCAGATAAACCCCTCGATATAGCTAGCCACAGAAGAACCTACTAGACTTTGAAAAGAATCCAGACTTCCCGCGATTCTTCTTCGATAATATAACCTCATCAAATAGCTTAATTGTAGGATCTGATGCCTTTTTCGACTCCCGATCATGAATAAACTCGCTGAAGGCTTGGGTTTGCTCAAGCATCTGAATGAACACCGAGTTCTCCTGCGGCATGCTCTTCAAGAACCCTTCCATGTTAAACCTATAGATATTACCGGCCTTCTTCCCGTCACCAGTTGCGGGACCAAGGAATTTCCTGTAGGTATAGAACAAGCTGGCAAAACATCTAACGAATGCTGCTCGGATCTGATCGGAATGGAAGGCCACAGGACACGGTAGACCAATTTGAGAAGAACAACGAGCATGTGCACTCACTCGGCAGCCTAATTGTTTAGAGCACATTAGTATTGCTAATTAGAACGGTCAACCAGACTACTTACTTGAGCATCTATAGATCCCTTCGTCTGATTTCTCATCGCATATCGAGCACACCGAATCAATGTCGGTAGGCTTCCACTGTAAACAATGACCCTCAACCCATTTAATAGTATCAGTGTTCCTCACAGGCTGCATCAACATACTTGGCATGATCGTTGATGCAGCAAGGGTAGAGGGTGCAAACACCGAAGGTGGGTATGCGTTGAAAATTGACTGGCTATCTCCAGTTCCCAACGAAGATGTCGAGGGTGAAGGGGAGTGGTGGGCGAATGGTAGACTAGGCCTGCGGAGTGTGGGCGTACGTTCAAATCCGAAGGAGGAGCTACGCCGAGAGGCGGCATCAAAGTTTCCAGATCTCTTCCCACGAAGGGTTGCAGTCAGTGTGAACCCAGTATCTGTTCTGCCAGCACTATTGCAGGTCTGGGGTAGGTGAACTGCCGACTTTGGCGAATGGGGTGAAGGTGGTGAGGTTCCTCTCATAGTTCCACTTGTGCCCGGCCTATCTGTCCGAGTGGAATTTTCCGCCCTAGATTGCAAGAACGCATTAAAAATCAAGGGTCTCGGCGCAAAGTCTGATACGGCCGCATCTCCGAACGATGTCGAATTCAAATTCACCAGCTTCGCAAGGGTACTTGGGTAAGGATTGGGCGTGTAGACCCCCGCATTCTCGGACATGAGCATATTATGAGGGAACGTCTCAATGGCATACTGGGGAGGACCAACTGGGACACCATAGCGATTATGGTGTGGAGCGGCAAGCTGCAGCAAGGAAAGGAGCTTCCTTCTCTGCTGCCTAGGGAGCAGAACTGGTGGGGTCGAGGAAATGATAACATCCGAATCAAGATCGACGCAAACGAAATCCTCCTCAGGGAGCTCAAGTTTTTCATATCTCCGCTCAATACCCACGATATAGGGGCAGGGTGCCTAATCCAAGTTAGTGTTTGACAATTCAAAAATAACGAACAAAAGTGTACCTCTAGTGCCGACAATAAACGCGCTGGGAGGACTGGAATGTATATCCCAAGCCACTGTAATGGGTACATTAGATTGATTAACGCCCGTGATACAATATGCAGCATCGATGTATGAGATGACAGTAAAATTATCCGCGATTCAGCCAGGGCAAACTATGAAGACCGTTAAAAATGGCTCGCGAGGAAGACTAAAAATCCGGAACCTACTTCAAACATTGTTACAACATTTGGGAGTGACAATGACCTAAACAAGGCATATAGATCCGTCTAGGAATAAATCAGAAGCTGCCCAAGGCTAATATAGAACAAATAAAATGGAAAAATCACATTACGGGATCCAGGCAATTCATTTGCCGCTTCCTTTCTGGCGTACATCCGCAACTCCCGCACGGCCACTTCTACCTGTGTCCTGGAAATATCTGGCGCAGGAGATTCGGAGCATAGGTTCACAACGTATCTATCCACAATTAGCGGTAATCCGACCAAACAGCGAAAGGAGCACATACCGTTCCAGCGGTTGCCAAATTCCAACCCGTGGTGATGACAAAGGCACTCTCTGGATCGCACCACTCGTCATGGGAACAATCACAACCTTTAACCATTCTTTCCAAAAATTCACGAGGGACGCATCCTTGCCCAAGATTCCGTAAGCGCGTGGAATCCAGAGCCCAGTCTCTCCATCAGTCAATCCTTCAATTTTTGAGGCTGCACCATGACGAACAGGCCGCAATAGATCGGCCATAAGACCAATCTTCTCTTCCGTGGCAATGATCTCCTCATCCAATTCCTCTCTCCTGACCGGATCCGACACTACCGAAGGCAATTTTGCCAATAATTTGGAAAGCTTAGTTCTCTCTGCCGCCAGTCTAGCAATTTGTCAATATTAAAATATGATATTATAGAGTAGAAGACCAAAACACTACCTCTCGCCCAAACTAGTAGCTAGTTCCCGTTCCTCATCCGTCATGTTATCCCTCCTCCATTCCTCACATCTGCGCTCCAAATCTTCAGCAGCTTTGGGGTTAAGTGGAATCCACATAGTAACACATATACCGTGGAGGCGAGCGTTATCAGCCCCAGTCATAGTCTGTAACACATGAGCCTCAATTACACAAAAACCTGCAGAGAACCACGCAAACGTACAAATCCATGCCAGGTAGACCTTGGCCTCTCGTCTGCAGAAACTATGTTAACATCATTTGGAAACGCAAACATTGGAACATAATCCGGGAATGGCCCTCTCCTCTTAGCTTCTTCGGTCAGATGTTTAGGTGGGTACCGATCCAAAAGCACTGGTTCAAATTTTCGCTTCAATGGGTGCATGTTGGGTGAAGAATTAAGAGGCTGTGGCGTAGGGATAACCGAATTATAATTGGACATTCTCCGTGCCGTCCTTATCGATGCTGTATCCATATGAAATTTCGTTAATTAACCTTGAAAAAAAAAAAACCTTCAACCTCTATCAACCAGGAAGAATCGATCCTTACAAGCTCTATTGACCGCCGACGGAGCTCTCCGCATTGATGTCAAGTCCCTCAAAGAAATCCTCCTTCTCAGCGATCCCGTTTTTTGCAAGCTTATATCCTCGCTCACTACCCTCTGTGCTCGGGGGTGTATGACTGGTTTATTTGGCACAACAGTACCCGCACTAAATGACAATTCGTCCAAAAAGCTATCCCTCTCCGCAGCAAATTTTAAGAGCGCATTATCAAAGTCCTGATCCGTCATCCCCTTAAATGTAGCCACACGTTCCTGACTCCCAGCGTTGGTATTAGTGATTGTCGAATTACTCGAATTGGACCCGTTTCTCATCAAATTGCTTGGAGTTGCAGCTCTAGACGAAAACCCTCCTCCTCCCTCGTTGCCTTCTACATCATTGCTTCCCCCCTGAGCTTGTGGAGCCGGTGTGGTGGGAGATATCTGGGGCTCCTCCTCCTCCGGTGGTGACGGAAGACCGTTTGATGTCGTGGGCGACCTACCCCCATTCCTCGACACAGTAGCGGGTGCCTGTAGAAGGGTTTCCTGAACCTCCTCTTCAGCCTCTATGGCTTCCAGCAACTGCTCTGCGAAGCTCCGTCTAGTAGGCTTCGAGTCTTGGGCTAGGTGTTCTCCATACGAGATGGAGTCTATACCTGCTATCCAAAAGTAGTCGGCCAATGGAGGTTCTGTTGATGGAGGATGATTCATGGTGCTGCGCGTCTATTTCTTCCCCCAATAAATTTCCTGTGGGTGAATGTGCTGCTGTGCTTCTTCCTGAAGGGGTTGTAGGAGCAAACTTTTGGTGAACTCGGCCGGCTGGCTGGATTGGGGGGAGGGTAGCGTGTGTAAGGGGGGGGCAAACTGAGGTAAAGAAAAAGAAAAGAAAAGAAAAGAAAAGAGGGTATTAAAACAAAGAGGATTCGTTCACGACATTCGACAAGATCCCGGGGGAGAGATAAGCAAAGGAAACGAGGAGAGGCAGCAGCAAAGCAGAAAGCAGAGAGCGGTGCTGGAGGGGGCACTCCCGAGTTCGGTGTGGTGGAGGTAAAGGGGCAACAACCCAGGGCACATGGGCAATGCACCACTACCGACAGACGCTATCAAATCCCAAAGCAACAACAGTGACAGGCGAAGACTAGTTGTGTGGATGTCCTTATTCTCAAAAGAACTCCCTTCGCAAGAGAAAAAGGGAAAAAACGGTTTAGAGGGTGAAGGGCAGAAATCCACAGAAAAGGAAGGAAATAGAAATCGGGAACGGCCCAGCAACGAAATTCCAGCGAGTTGCAACGCCAACCATAAAATCCAGCACGCACGCACAGAGGATGGGAAGGGTCCGCACACACAGACTCGGTGGAGGCCCAGGAACAGTCAAGCAAAGCAAGACAGGGGAGACCCAAGGACTTACCCCCAAGGACTCTAGTTCCAGGTTGACCTCTCCCCCAGCTATCACGTCGAGTCCGAGGAACATTACTCGTACCGTAGTTAGAGGAAGTGGGAAAAAAAACGATGGGCTTTAAAATTGGGATCCCACGTGCAAAGCTAGGAAGGTTGCATGTTTCTTCCGGGCCTCTCTCTGTTCACAGTCTTGGACAAAGTTGCGGCGTCCCCTTTCCCGTTTACCTCAACTAGAACTCCTGATTGCAATCCTCCATCACCCTTCGAAAAGAAAAGATAAGGGAGAACGGGAAAGGCCAGCTCTAAGTTACAAGATGAGCAGAAAAATGATAGATGGCCGAAAAAAGTATGGCCGCAGGCAAAGCTAAGATAGAGAGTCTGATACAGAAAGAAAGAAAAGAAAAGAAAAGAAGCAGAAAAAAATAGAAATAGAGAAATGAACTGGGCTGTCAGAGAATTGGCATGGGTGAGGGCGATCTCTAGACTCCCAGAACTGGTAAAAGGACAGGGGCACCCTTGCTCCACGCCTTGGGGACTATACAAATTCATACTTTCTTTGGCTGATGTTCGGCGAGAGCGCAAAAATGCCCGGTAGTCTAAATGCGCAATCACTCGAGATGCAAGCGAGATACTCAAGAGTGATATCCAGTAGGAATTCGAATTCGAATAGCTACGGTACGGTATGATACCCCAATATCTCTGGATTTTGCTGTGTACCGTACTATGATACTGGGTGGGCGCTTGTATACGCTGGGCACATTACAGCTGGATGATTCCTTTTTATTCAAGTCCTCTTCACGTCTTCCCGTCCCTCCTGAAAGGTTGGCATTGAACTCTGGTGGTACTCGTACAGGTATACCCTTCTGCACTCTACTCGCGCGGCCGAGTGCAAGTGCTTCGGGGTGCTTTAGTCCATCATGGGATAAGTTAAGCTACCCGAGTATAGTACCGTACCGGTACTGGAGTAGATAAAGCTTACTTGGGTGCGTCTGTGCGGTACGTTGATCATTGCCATCAAGGGCTATCATACACACTCAGATATCAACGAACAACTGCACGCACAGAGAGGCACACCAATGCAGCAGAGCCCGCTCTACTCAAGCATCAGCGGAGGCGGTTTTCCTGTGATGGGTTTGCTGAAATCAATGTTGTCGAACGATTCACTGGAATTGAGCAGTTCGCAACTTCCTCCTCCCTAACTCACGCGAAAATGAACATATCGCATATGATAGGAGATGGCTGGTGGGTGTAGTATTTGTCTAAAACATAGCTAATGCTCCCCAATTTAATAGTCCCAAAAACCAGTAATGTATAATCCAATATACCGTACTCGGATCTATCTAAAGGTACTGGATCTGGGATGCAGGTATTGTACTAGGTAGTAACTATTGTACATAATTGAGCCACTTGGAAGAATTGGCCCTCTTCCCCTATGCAGGGGAAATTCTAAAAATTGATACTGGAACTTCTACCAACCTCGCGGGTCTCCATATAACTGATTGTAAGTACTCGTACATTAAAAAAAAACCCCTCATGTAATATATACTTGTATAGGGGAAGAAGAAGGAATAGAAGAGGAGGAGGATGATCCGGAGAATTGTCTAGATCAACACACTCCCTTGAAATTGGACAATTAAACCCGATATAATAATTTGTTCCATGTAAATAAATTGATACACACCCCGATCCTGCGGAAAATGCTGTCTCTGTGCAACATCATCGCGGTATGCTATGCCGCGGGTATCTGCTCCAACCTCACTAGAGACAGTTCACGCTTGGGAGAGGGAGGCATGAGCTGCCACCAGAGAGGTTAAAGAGGGTTTCCATGGTTCCACCAGACGGAGCCGGCACAGCACGGTACAATGGAAGTCTACCAGAAAGTTCACACACGCACAAACACAAACACATAATGCCCCCCCATCAATTCTTTGCCTGATCCGGAGCATTGGGCAATTGAGTGTCAGACTCGCCTTTCCAACAGAGGGAATATTAATATTCTCGCTTTTCCCCTGGTTCTGGATCTTTTTCATTCGCCGCAGTGGTGTGGGTGGTGGTGGTGGTACCCCTATTACAAAATTATAGAGGAAATATGTGAAACTCTCCGCCGAGACACAGGCGGTGGTGGGCGCAAGAAATGTCTGCCCAAACATCGATTCATATCTGGGCTGGATGGATGAACTGCTGACCACCGCGGACCAACCCTCATTCCTCACTCACTCCCTCCCAGCTGAATCTACTGTAATGTTCTTTTGTTATCATCCATCTTCCTAACCCATCACCGGTACAAGTACGTATATGGCGCAGTCGAATTACCTCCGCAGTCGACATGGCACTCTTCCAAAATATCATAATATGGTACACCTCCTTTTGCCCACCCTTAACTTATCGTAATCCTCTAAAAAGCAAACCAACACGCCATCCGCACTGGTCCTCCTCTTCCCCTGCAACTCACCTCCGAGTGATAAAAATACACTGAAAATGTGTATCCTACCCAACGGCAACCCCCGCAGACAACAGTACCGGTAACATGGAGCATAGTATCGTACAAGTTATCGTGATTATCCGCACGCAAGCCCTTCGTATTCACCAGAGAGAGCCATGCAACCCCCCCCCCTCCCTAAGCTAGCCCTGTCGCTATCCAAAATAAGTCTTACAACTGGAAACTTATGCGTCAAAGATATATCGTACAGTACTGTACTCCTACATCGTACTCTATGCAATATATGTTTCAGTCGCCGCGCCCATTCATCCAATTCATCCAACCCAAAAAATCTTTAGCCAAAGGACCGCCGAAAGGCAAGCAAGCCCTCCGCCTGCGAACAAGGTATCCCTCCGACTCTTCCGGGAACATCTCGGCCTACGGTAGGTATGCATACACCAGTACTGGAGCACTCGCGGAGCAGACGGGATCGTCGAACAAAAATAGAAGGGGGGGAAGCGTAAAATGAAATATAAAAAAAGCAAATTATAGAAATCACGGTGTTGGATTTTTCGTTGTCGTGCGGTGCGCGGGGCGTCTGAAATCGACCACAAAAGCGAGAACGAACCTGCCCCAGCAACAACCAACCATTTTGAGAAAAACTCTATGGAATTGGCTCCTCTTTAATTGTATAGACTCCGTTTTGATTGGGCGAGCATTGGTTAAGGATGGTAAGGTGGGAATTTTTGGGTGGGTGAACCCACATACGAACGCCAGTATACCGGTATGCCAAAGCGCTAATATTTGTATATTATATTACTAAGCGAGGGGAGGCGAGCAAGATGGTAGGTTTTGGGTGTCCGGCACTGTATCCGTGAGTGTTTCGTCCTGCTGTGGTTCCGGTGTGGTGCTGTGGTGCCTTGCAGTACCGGTGCGAGTACAGCATAGTAGTACGGCCGTACCTTCATCCAACGCGGTTGATTCCCCGGGAATATCTTGTTCCACGATGAACCTACCGGTATCTGTCACTTGCATATATTTACGGACTGACTACCGACGGGGGGTGGTGGTGGGAGGTGCGGAGGGATGGAGGGATGGAGGGATGGAGGGATGAGATGTGCATTGTACTGCACCGGACGTACAAGTACGTCTGGGGTTGTCGGTCACCCAACGTCCTTGGAAAATCCCGATACTGAATAATCGACTTTTGAGAAAAATAATGAAAGAATCCCTTTCAAAGCCTCAAATGACTTTTACCTTATTTTATTAACCCACTTGAAAACAACAACCGGAAAATGTTGCAGCAGGCTATTTGATAAAGTTGTGTAACATTGGTACAGACTCCAACCGCAACAATGACCTCCCGCATGACCTCAGATGAGAAAAAAAATCATAGACTAGTTTTAATTTACAGGTACTATTTAAAGGATTTTACCAGAGGGGGTCCTATTATAGCCAATAAAGGAGAAGATTCTATTACAAATCCAGGAATTTTGGATCAAGTCGGCCACAAGGGCAGGCCTTGGTTTTCTGGCACCATACAAATTTCACAGCACGTGAATATCAAGGGAAAATAGCTTCTTCACCCCCCGATTGCTGCTGCTAAGAACGAACCTTATGTAGTCTATGTCTCCACCCGCTTCGTAGCCCCCCTTTTCCCGCTGTTTACAATTTATCTGTGGTTGTGCCACTACAAGTATCGAGATTATTGCAATTCCCCAACACCCAGATTGCTTATCACACAAACCCTCTCTGAGAAGAAAGAAACACGGCTCCACCGGGTTGAAACACTCTGAAAGCAATGAGTTTCCCCACCTGCCAGGTATCCTAGTGTCAAGTTGTGCGCTCTAATATGATACCGCCCACTTCCTGGTGAGTAACCCGAACACCCCCGAAACTCTGGCAAACCCAAGGCGCCAATGAAGCAAGCGAATTTACTAAAATCCGAAATGATAGATCGGCCCGCAGTTTCTTAATTACTCAAGGGCTTATTTTCTCAGATGTCTAGACCTTTTTGGGGGGTGGTGAACTCGGTTGTCAAAGTCACATTTTGGTTGTTTTTTAGCCCCAGCGTCCGATCTTTAATCTTACCAGGAGCACTTGCCAATTTATGAGGTATTCGACTGCCTTGGCGCCAAGACGGGTATTAATTGGTGTCAAGGTGTCCTGATACAAATAGAAACCTCACGGAAGACACTGGCTTCTAGCTCGCGATTTGTACTAGTACCCTTCTTTAAACAAAGGGGCTACGAACGAGTAGAATGCCGTAGTTTCAACAAAAGGGTTGGTCGGTGATTCGAGCCGCCAGATGCTGGAGCAATTTGGTGGCGGTGGAGATGGTGGTGTTATGTCTCGGGTGTATGCCGTGACTGCTGTGGTTTGCTTCGGCTACCAAGCTGGCGAGTACTCGTACTCGAGTGGGTGTGGGATGGTTTGAGGAATTGTGCTGATGATTGACCGTGCCAAGGTTCCTGCTTGAAAGTCTCTCAGCAACCGTGGAAGATGACGGCACTCCTGACTCCCAGAGCGAGTGCCGAATAGTTCAATGATATTATAGTAACATATTGGTAGGGATGGGATCAACGAACAGGGCAAACAAAATCACTGTTTGCCAAGACACTTTTAATGTAAGAGTACTCGTACTGTATAGTATCACTCGAGTATTGTTCGTTGACCCCCTGCCGGTACAGTACTCGTCTATTTCAACAGAAGATTTATTGCATGTGATGGGAGATATTCAACAAAAACACCAATTTTATTAATCAAGAGCTTCTAGAGCTCATTATTTCCTATCTCAATCCTTCACTACCATACCCTGGCGTTTTCATATTTTGTTCCACAGCTTTTTGGCCTTTTTTTCTTTCTTTCCCGACCGCCCCTCTACGGGTAACTCGCAGCTTACGAGTAGTTGTCCATGGGCCTAGTTTCCTCAAATTCTGAAGGGAACCCCGGCAGAACGATGGCGCAAGCTTGATCAAATTTACATGCATGTCAGTTTTAGAGTTGTTCGAGTTAGAATTGATGACTGATCAATTATTTATGATGCCTAATTGATAGAGCACATCAGATCATTATAAAAAAGTATTTCCGTCTCGAGTTCAAGGTATCGTAGGAGTGACACTTTCAGAAAAGCGGTCCATCATAAGGTTTCTACTGTAAAAACTAGATCGATTGAGAACCTCGCTGGGACTTTAGAATTGCCTCTCCTAGTAGGATCCCTTATATGATACCCTTCTTTTTATTTGCCCCAACAGATGGCTGAAAGAGAATCCTTTCGCCGTATTCTCCCCCCCCTCCCATTATCCAAAGGCGGAAATTCTTGACGTCCTAATTAACGTCACGCTCGATTTTTCCGGTTGCTTATGATACGGCAATCATTTATTCATCCGCCACCAACCACCATCATAAATTATCACGTTGAGCACACACATGCATGGTACGGCGTTTCAACGGTTTCGACTATCTGTAGGGCTGGAAAGTCCGTGTAACCATTCACTGCTTCTTGGCGAGCCACTCGAGGATCAAGCCAGCACCAAGCAGGCAAATATTCACTTTTCACATTTATGGAAAGTGCTGCGCTGCTTCGAGGAAACGGCAAATTCACGCTGTGGGTATGATACCCTTCCCTGCCCCACTCAACGCCAAACCGAACAAACGGGGGTGGCATGAACGGGGTTTTTTTTTTTTTTTTTTTGTCGTTAGCACCTTACTTGCTTATCATAGTAAAGGATACAAACACCCGAGTACGAGTATCGTACCTACTCCATTCAATACCGTAATCCACCGGCATGGTAGCGGAATGGGGGGTTTCTCACGGGTATGGTGCCGGGCACCTGAAATCAACCAGGGACCAACACATGAATAATTTTCGGAAGTTTTCAACTACAACCACATCTTTGGGGAGATCTGGCTTGATACAAGTGCCCAGAAGGTACTCCTCTCTAATTCTGTGTTTTCTGATCCCTAATTAGAGCAATATTAGTGGAGATTGTAAATTTTCGAATTTCCCATGCATGGATCGTTTAGAGGTTGCTTTGCCAAGCCCCACTATTTTGTGTGTATTATATAAGCAAAATGAATTGCCTACCGTATGAAGATTGCCCATGAAGGTTTGATCTCAAGTGCCAGGCACCATAGTCGTATTCTGCTGTGGTGTTCCCCCTTCGTAGTTTGGGTTCTCCCACAAAATCCTACAGAAATACTTCCCGAGGTTAAGCTTCGATGTCTCATCTTGATGAAGACCTTCCTAGTTCCGCAATTTGCCTCCTGAGGACTCTACCGTGCACAACTGCACCTTACTTTACTAGAATACCGCACACTGGCATCCGAGAATATCCTTTTTCTTTCTTCTTTGCACTCTTGAGGCGGTAAAAATACCAAAGGGTCTAACTTACCCCTGATATTGCCTGCGGTAGCGTGGTATTGCTTCGACGTCTCCAAATAGTGCCGTGAACTCTTGCCCTTTTATATAGCTAGCATTTATTAGCTCGTGACCCTAAGAAACCCTCTGCGGTATTGATCGTACAGGACAGGAATCACGCGGTTTAAGGCATATGTGTATGTTCGTATATACGGTACGGTATATATATATACACATATATAACTTCACACGTGCAACCCCAACCTCCCCGTTGACAGATATCCTCTGTCTCCACATGCTGATCTCCACTCAATACTCAGTTGGCCGAGTATTTTCTTATCGTTGGCGGCCACGTCTTCTTCCCACCCCTCTTCTGTCTCTTCTGGATATAACAAGAACGCAACCTGCATGACATCTCTAGAGCCAAGCATGGGCGTATCCTTGGGATTCCTTTGGCCATCCCCTCGTCCAGTTGACCCTTGCCAATTCAGGCTTGTAGCTGTCCATCCCTTCGTTGTGCCCATGTGTACCATCTCTAGTGATATAGGACCATCCCCCATATTTTCGAGTTGTGCCTCCAAGATAGCCCGGCCACCGGAGAGGGACCCAATCTTTGTCCTGACAGTCAAGCATTGTTGGGCGATAAATTGGTATAATTTACGGAAGGTCCTGACTCGTCCGGGCGCTCCTTTTTCGCCTTCACCATAATCCACTCGCTTTGGTGCTTCGGTATATGTTACGGTAACTGCCAGAATATGATTTCCTTCTTCTTTCAGATCGTATTTAACAATCTTTTGAAGGGACATGACAGGATCTAAGTCGGCTGTTTGTCGTTCGTCCCCGCCAAGCTCGAGATTGAGGGTGAGTGATGGGGTCTGCATCTCAGCACTGATCCTAACGCTGGTCGTTATCGAGGTTGTTTCATTGTTTGCTGATAAGCAACAACTGAAGGTTTCGCCAATGTATGCATTTCCGAAGGCTGGCGGAAGGGTGAGCTGTAGAGTGATCGGTTTGAGTGCTTGGCTGTCAGCTGCCGTTATTTCTCTTAATCTAGGTATCCTTCGGCCCCAAAATCATGCTCTCTACCGAGGCAAGTCAGAATTTGGGGACCAGGGTAGGTATGACGTACCAAAGGGCTTAGGATAAAGGGGTCATCGGTGGAATGTGAGGGATATGCATGTGATTGCCGGGAGAGCTCGTCTAACTCTGGGGACTGGTTCGAAGGAGTGGCCTTGGGTAAAGAATGCTGCTCTGAAAGCGAAGGTCTGGAGAGTCTGGAGAATTATTAGCGTGGAGGATCGGTAAAGCCGGTCAGACACAAAAGGTTTCTGAGGCTGTGACATACCTGAGGACCTTCAAGGAGATGGAGTGGGGTTCTTTAACCTCCGAAACCGCTCGTTCACGCGGCATCCTATTGGACTGATTGCGAATTGTTAGGTGGTGAGTGCGATATAGGTGTCGGGGGGGCAGAAGACGGAGCTCAATCTGATACGACACCAAAGGTTGAGGATTTGTAGCAGTACCGGTACTCGAGCACAGTGCCGGTATGTGAGACTCGGCGGGAGCTGCTGAATTTGAGAGCTCCAGTGTCTGGTGTTGATTGATTGAGCAACACCACTGTCTGCATGCATGAGCCGCGCCAAGCTACCGCGTTATTCTTAGATTAATAACTCAATGGTGGCATTTTGCGGCGTCTAACTGGCCTACCATAACACAGACTTACCTTATCATATCCTACTCGAGCACAGCGCGTTCCGATATTTTGGTCTTCAACAAATTTGTTCGAAACCTCATCCCCACGAAATACCGTACCCCGCATCACATCACTGGCTACCACACAACATCAGATGACGGTTCCTCTTCAGCGAGTCGGCTGCCTAGAGTTGATTCTGGACACGCCAAAAGGCAAGTAACTGGCTGCGGGGCACACTACTCTGTTCTGTTATGGTGAAAATTTTCTCTTTCCCCCGCCCTCTCCACAGTTTTGAAATCAGACTTGAAAGGTAAATGCGGACTCGTGACTAAATAATTCACGCGTGCAGGACGTGGGGTGTTTGCTACCCGTAGAATTGAGGCTGGCACAGTCGTTGATACAGCACCGGTCATCGTCTTGAACAAGGAGCAATTTGACAACTATATTCAGCATTCATTGCTGCTGCATTACAGCTAGTAAATGCCTCCTCCTCCTCCTCCAGCTCACCTCACTACTCCTCCAACATCACTTTCCACATATACCTCATTCATCGTCAATGATACCCCCACACTTCACTCTCATTGGTAGAGAAACCTACCACGTACTCTAGTACCTCATGCATTTGAATAAGCATTGCTTAAATCTGGCATAGTAATTGGCCAAGGGCCTGCGGAACGACAGGGAGATACACAATGCATCAGGCAATTGTTCTCGGGCTTGGCTCCATGTTCAATCACTCGTCGCTAGGACAAAACATCGGATGGAGGCGAGATTTGGAAAAGGAAGTAATTGTTTATACGGCTTTGCGTGATATAGCGGAAGGAGAAGAGCTGTTGATATCCTATGGATCGTGCCTTACATTCGAAGATGTTGAAGCAGCTCAGATGGAGGAAGATGAAGAGGACGTCACAGATATCTTAGCTCGAACCAATATCTGATCGAAATTTTTGGAGCAAAACTTACTCGTATGATACTCATGTATCGGTACTTGAGTGTGATATCTTACTGGGATGTAGGGTAGAATCTGATAATTAGACAAGGGTTAGGGTTTCAATTTAGCCCACTCAACAGTTTGTGGGGTCGAAAGAGTCGACAAAACGTCAGTGGCGCTGAGATACCATGTCACCCTAGCTTCTCCACTCCCAGAAACCTCTCTTGGGCCTTATCCCGTCTTCTGAATTTGACCACCAGAACCACACCCTTCTCTCTCACCACACCTTTCCCCGCAATTCCCAATAAAATCAAAACCCGCACAGCTATCAAGCATAAACCCCGAAGCAATGGGCTACCAGAACGATAATATCGCGGTTGGCTCCTCCCCGACAACGCGCGCGACCCGCTCCAGTAGCAGACCCGCTCCCCAAGCCGAAGCCTTCCCATCACTTTCCGAGCCACAAAAGCTCCCCGAAGTTCCGGGGGGGCGTGGCCGCCCACGAAAAATTGCGCCAAAGCCAGCACCGCAGAAACAAGAACCTTCCAAGAAACGTGGCCGCCCGCTTAAGCGCAAACTCATGGACGAAAATCAAGACGATGACGACGTAGTCGTGATTGAAAGCGCGTCGACACCAGCTCCAAAAGCAATGGGGAAAGGGAAACAGGACGTTGTTCCTATTGCCTTTGCCCCCCCTCATCCTGCCGTTGTCGCTCCCCCCGCTGTTCTGCAGCCTTTTCTACTCACACAGGAACCCCCGCAAAAGCAAGCAAAATTTGCCCCTTCTGCTTCCAAGAGTTCTGGCGCAGCCCCGGAGAAACGCGCAAAGCTATGGCGCAAGCAGCCGCCTAAAACTGTAAGTGAGAGAATTAGCCGTTGTCTTACTCAGAGGATGGTCGTTCTTGACAGGCAGAGAGTTATGGAAAACGATATTCCCCAAGAGATTGTCAAAATCGCGGGAAGCACCGGAAATGTTTACACGGTTCATATTAAGCAGGTTCCTGTTTGTGATTGCCCTGACTCGGTATGGATTTCCGCTCGGCCACCTATGATGAGTATATGCTGACAAGCCTTGTTGTTACCTTAGAGTCCAACGTGTAAACACATTCTATATGTATTGCCAGCTGTCTTATGGCATGTATTTGTGATATAACGGGTCTGCTGACATTGTGGCAAAAGGTGATGATGAAAGTTTTGAAAGCACGCAGTGATCTCGTGTACCAAGCTGCCCTACTCTCATCTGTACGAAAGCCCCTCTTCGGTCATGACTTTTACCGGTTTTCAATCTAACTCGCAACGTTAAATAATAGGAATTAAGAGAAATGTTCGCAAAAGCATCGCCAATCCACTCATCCGGCGAGAGTGCAGGTAGTAGCGCACAAAAACCACTAGATGAGGATGATTGCCCCATCTGTTATTGTCCTTTTGAAGAAAATGGCCGTGAGGTGGTTGTCTACTGCAAAGCCCAATGTGGCACAAACATCCACCAAGTACGTCACCAATTGTGTTCACTCGCCTCGAAAGTAATCCATCTCCATGCATGTCTAACAAATATTACAGAGTTGCTTTCGCCAATGGGCTTCAACCAGAGGAGCCGGAACTGTTACCTGTGTCATGTGTCGCCAACCGTGGCAGGGAGACAGTGACCCTCATGAAGCGCTAGCAAAAGGCAAAGTGAATAGTGAAGGCTACGTCAACGTGGCTTCAGAGCTTGGTATGAGTGGACACAGAGGTAACTATTCCCATGAAATTTTTATCGCTGGCTTTTCTCCTTACCTCTATCCACAGATTATTCCACATACTACTACCCGCCGTATTTCGGTGGTGGATTCAGACGAAGATACTGGTAGTGGGTATACGCGCCCCCACCCCGCGATATCAAAAAAAAGGGTAGAGCGGTGTTGAAGTAGTGTTCTTGTTGGTGTTGGTAGGCTCGATGGTATTCTGGGGGGCTGTATGTGGCTATATCTATTATCCCCTTCTTACTTCCATTTGTTGATAACCATGTCCTATATTTTCAAAAGCATCTTTACTCCATTATATGACTTATAATTTATTCCTTGGTTCCCCATTTTTGCCACAGCCTTCAACCCTCCGTATCTCTTTGATTGGGCCTTTGCACAAGTGAGGATCAGCAAAGCAACCCCACACATCTTCCAGACTCTCATGCATGCCCCCCCCAAAGAAAAAAATTTACCTGCGAAAATCGCACCATCCCCGGTTTAGATCGCCCAAGCGTATGGGGCGAGGAGCTATCATAGGGTATTTAGTGTTGTGAGAATCTAGGCCAGGCCATCCCACACGCCACTCAGCGCTTCCAAAGCGGGGAGGATGATCCGCATTCTAAACCATCCCACCCCATTCACCCATCCATCTACCTCAAACAGGTGCCCCCATTCCCCATTCATTCAGTCACAACCCCGTCAAATTGCAAAGCCTACTACTAATACCGCAAAATTGAGAAGCCAATCTGATCCTATCCTACCGTATCCCATCCTATCTCATCCTATCTCACCCTTGATTCCTATCCTGAGCGCACCGCACCTACCTATGGCACAGCATAGCGCCAAACACCTCTCACAGTCTTTAGCATATCAATTTCCCCATCCACTAGCTGTGACTGCGATTCCGTTTTTTCCTTTTTCGACACAACCCTTGCCCGGCCATATCAACGAACCGGACGCTAATTGCGCGTCCAATGCTATAACCCCGTATAAAAAAAAATCCCCCGGATTATGATTACGATAGCCCCCGTTTATTATACGTTGCCCTATTGCGCACTCGTTCTTTCGCGATCGTTTGATGATAGCATATGAATAAATGGATGACGGGTGATTGGCGAGTAGGTCCCATGCTGCAGCTCTAGTCATGAAAGCTCACTCGACCAGAGAAAAAAACCCTGCAGTGCTGGGTGGGTGGGCGAAGGAGGGATGTGCGGAGGGTTTTGAATCCCGCCGGGTGTGTGAAAGGGGGGGGGGTCAGGTCTTCTTCCTTTGTCAAAGTAAGGTTTTGGAGGTTGTGGTATGGGGGGGGGAGGGCATTGGGGTGTTACGGTTGTGAGCTTGGGTTGGTTCGGAATGACAGTTCGTGACCCGACACCGCGCAAGATATGATGATATCCAGTCCAGCCCGCCGACCCGTTAAAACACCAGTAACACAGATATGTCAGCGGGTGTGAAAAATTTCCTATCATATCGTAACAAAATTCAATGCTAACTAAACCTTCCTCCCTCGCACCATATATATATATATATATATATATACTCAGTGAGACATCCCGTGACCAACTGCCCAACTAACAAACAAATGTTTCTACTGTACCACCCACCCTCGAATAACCCCACAGGTACCGAATACCAACACCCTCTCATCTCCTGCAACCCCCCAACAACGTCTTCTAAAAATGGAAAAGAGTGATCGTCCCCCACCGGACCGGAGAGGCAATTCGAGACATTCTTCTCACGATTTACCTTACATATAATGCACCGACTCCTCTGGCTGTCCTGTTCGTTCGTTTCGTCACCGCGAGAACTATTGGTCGTCTGTCGGTCGGTCGGTCGAGTGACCACCGCTGGCGCGCATGCCCTATCCGCGGAGAGGTAACTTTAGGTATATACACCAACTTATTATAGAGATAAGTACTTGCCGTCCCGCACCGCACCGCACCGCGCCGATCACGATCATAAGGCTGTGGCCAGAATCGGTTTTGTTACCTTTTCGGTTGTGTTGGAAATTTGGCCTCGCGTGGGTTATATATAACTTGATAGGAATAATTTACTGATTTACGGTATCTGTACCCGTACTAGCGAGTGGGAGATTCGAGTGAGAAGTTGTGAGAGCAGGAGGTTTTTGTTTCCTTCTTGGTTTGATATGATATGTATGGTTGAAAGGGGGGGTTGTTGTTGCTACGATAACCAATAACTTGTAGGGGTATGATACTAGTGTGGGTACTTGTACGAGTGCCTATGTGCTCTAGACTCATCGCCACCGCCACCACCACCACCACCCCTTTTTCCCCTTGCCCCCTCCCCTCCCCAATCATTGGTACAATTGCGATTGGGAATAAATCTTCCGAGACCGATTTGGGGTTTGGCAATGACTTGCTTTGTGGAGATGTACCGTACGGCACTTGTATGGTATGATACGTATCATACATACTGTATCATACTGCGCTGTAACACGGCGCTGGGTCATCATCTCTGGGGTTGACTTGACTCGCCCGTTGTCAATGGGGCTTTGGATACGCAGTCTATCAGTGATTGGCACGCTCGTACTAAGCACGTTATCTTCGTGACCTGTTCAATGTACGGTAATGCCAATCAATGGGCTGCTTTTGAATTCTGGTAACTGTATGTGCCGGTAATTGCGCGTCCAACACCGCCGTGCGGTTGATTCGTGACGATCTTGATACACCGATAGATAGATGGACATACATACAGGAAAAACAATTCCACAGCCCCAAGATAAATTGCAGCCATCATCAGCTCAACCCGATGTTCCCCACCCCACCCCAGACAACCATAGATTTATTCCGAATGAAAAAAACATCATCTCAAGCCTAGATCTGCCTCACCTTACCTTGTTCCACTTTTACCTCACCTTGCTCCCCCGCTGCTGCTACTTACTCTACCTCGCCCGGCTGAGCAGTCAGGTAGAAATTTCTCCCTCCTGTCCAATTTACCCCTTCCATTGACTTCCCTCCCTCCCTTAGCTGGGGCGAAAGGAGGGCTCAGTGCTCTCTCTATGAGTACACGCATGCACAATAGGCAAGAGAATTCGCTGGCGACGAGAAATTTCTTTTTTTCAAGTGTGTGAGGTGTGGTAGAAGCGCAGAAGTACGGAGGCCTCTTTCTCTCCCTCCCCTTCCTTCTCTTATGATACACCACAGGCGGCGGATGGGTAGATGGGCGTGGACATGGGCGCGTATAATTATTTTTTGTTTTTTCTCCCTTGGTATTTATCGGTTGGCTTGGGATCTTAACCACGGTGCAGTGGGGATACGGTACAATAGGTTAGGCGGGGGGGGAGGCGATAAAGTTGACTTTGGTACAGTCGCAGGTTTGTTTGGTGGATATAATAGGTAGCTATCAGAGGTAGGTATGTAGGCGAGGAGGAGAGGGAGAGGGAGAGGAAGGAGAAGGATAAGGAATGAGAAGAATGAGGCATGCAAACGTACTGTATTGTATGCATGTGAGCTGTGAATCTCGAGCATCTGCCGCTATGCTTGTAAGTCACAGTATGATATGTAGTAGATACAGTGGAGGAATAATCAGGTCGATAAACCGGAGAAAGGAGGCGGAATGAATTGTATTTCCCCCGTGCCATAGAGTACCTCTGTTCAGGGCACTTTACAGATAGGCTGTAACATGCAATGCATAACTCAGTCGAGGACCCGTAGACTACGAGTACTGTCCTGCCCACGCGTGCCTCCACAGCTATCCAGGTATATATGTTACCGGACGCTTACATTCTCTCCTTTTATTTTTCTTCTTCTCCTAGGGAGGCTGACAATTGCTCCGTCTAGACTGCATCGGTTTTCTGGAGGCACTTCTACTGGAGTGGTACTTGTAGTAAGTCTACCCCCGATTCCGTACCTGCTTGTAGATGATGTTTTGCAAGGTGCTTTTTTTTTTTTTTTTTTTCTTTTTGGTAAAATTTCCGGTTTGCCGGTGCGGTAGGCCATCAAAAAAGATTCCTTTTCCTTCCCTTCAGCTTCTGCATGTAATACACCGGCAGCTTACTGCGAGAAATAGAATAGAGCCAGCAATGACCTCACCATATGTAAAGAACAAGAGGAAGAAGAACAAGAGGAAGAAAACTCTTCACTCGGGGAGCTGACCGAATCGTTGAATCTTACTAACGTTTTTGCGGTGGCACTAGGCTTTTTGACGTTTGAGCACATACTCGAGTACTCCGTACTTTTAGCTCCTGAGCGCGCTAGAATGAATTGTTTCGGTGGTCGCGCCTATGAGGGAAAAAAAAAAAAAGAACTCGAGGAGAAACAAGTTTCGACGCCGCACGGTGTTTCGGGGAGAGAGAGGCCACCGGCCTCTCGAAAGAAATCTCACGATGAGCACCAAAGTCAATTGCAGTACCGGCCCTGCGATCCTTCATTTCTTTCCCTTTCTCGCCACTTGTTTTGTCGGTCACTGTACTGTACAAGCACTTGTATACAGGATTGACTACGGACTGCGAACTGCGAGCTGCGAACTGCCTGACTGACTGACTGCCTGTCTGGGAAGCCGAGGTCAATTACCGGTAGCCAACCGACAGGGACTGCACAAGTACTTGTACAGTACCAGGTACGGTATACATTATCCGCGTAGGGAGATAATTTTTCCAGAAATCCAGACTGATTTTTCTTGTCTATTCCTTTCTTTTCTCCCTCTTCCATTTCGCTTTCTTCTTCCCCCGACAAGCCAACGCACCGGTGACACAAGACCCAAGCCATGATTTCCGGAAGAAGCGGCAGGCGGGATGCCCCCAACGGCAGTCCACGCTAAGGGCTATAAAGAACGTGGGTGGTTTCTAGGGAGTTTCAAAGAACCGCAGTGGCGGGTTGCGTGAAGCGGAGAAACGAAGCCTTAGGCGAGGGTCTGTACGAGTACTGTACGTATGGACTTACCGTCAGCCAGCAGCAGTGCCCATCTCATCCATCCACTCCACCACAACCCTTGTGGGACCCAGGATTCAACCACCCTGGAGAACCAGAGTTCAGAGGCACGGAGAGGAAGCCCTTTTTTTTTTTTTTTTTTTTTAATTTTTAATTTTTAATTTATTCCCACCCCCAAGGCGAGGGAATGAATGAAGGAAGGGAAGCCTCTTATCCCAAACTATAGACGCAATTGATATCACGCGACACGTGTCCTAACAGAGCAAGCATAGTTTTCCTGAGGTGATCTATTACAGTACCTTCCCCAGGCAGTGGAGAGGGAAGAATCGACTCCTTTGCTCCTTTGCTCCACCCATTCCTGACTTCAAGCAAGTTAGGGGGGTGCTCAGCTCTTAACTTCATCCACGGGAAAAAAAAAGGACAGTTAGACTACTACACAACGGTACATGAGCTGGAACAAAATGAGGAAAAAAGTATGCCGCAGAAGCCAGGGAAGGGAGTTGAAGAAGGGGAAAGAAAAGAAAAGAAGGGAAAGGAAAGTATGGTAACAGATCTACAGACACAACGGAATGAATGAATGAATGGCCTAATTTCATAACAGCGATACCGACCATGCCAGGTGGTCACAGTAGAGTCTTTGCCATGATCGATCGGTGTGGTGCGGATACGGTGCATACGAATGAATGCATTTGGTTGTTCGCATGGTACTGCACTCGACCACGGTTACAGTGCTCCAGCACTCATAGATTGCCGCTCGCGGGGAACTGGAGGTGAAGGAAGCTTCTGGAAGTGGCAAGGCATGGTACTGTACTACCGTAATTAGTACAAGTACGATAAACACGACGGAGGAGGCAGGCGTCAAGCATACGGGCACTATCCCGCGCCCAGGCTGCGGGTCAGTTGAGAGAACTGTGGACTGCGGTGGAGGAGGGGGGGGCATCTGGTACGGCGGAGTTCCCTTTTTTTCTTTCTTTCTTTTTACAAGGACAACATCCCGTCGCTTACCGACGATAGTACAAGTACTTGCACGAGATCGCGGTTATTGAAAGCCGACAGATCATGGCCAAGGCCGGGCCCTCCTCCATCCTCGAGGGCAGCTCGCCTAGAGAGCGGCCTGCACAACACGGTATCATACATAAGTCAACTTGGTGGGGCTCTCCCCTCCCTTCGGACCGTTAACTACTCGAGGACCACGTCGGAAATGGGGGACCGTGTTCGTGTTCTAGGCGTGGCTCAGCATACGCAAACTCACGTGCATGACAATACCGGCAATAGTGAATAATTACAACTACCAAGTTGGGCTATTCATGCCCACCCAGGAAAGGAACCCATGGGAGAACAGGATGTGCATAGCATGACTTATTAGGGTTCTGCCTTCCACAAGCTGACTGAACGTCTGTAAGAAGCTTTTCATAACGGTATCTTCGCATAAGAGGAATTGAAGCAGCATAACAGCAAGAAACCTTCGTGCTGCCAAACCCCCCTTTTACCTTGGCAATGGACAGACAGGCACAAGGCGAGAAGAAGTGCAAAGGAAGAACTCATGATCTGTACGATAAATCGCAATAGGCGTGGTAAGTAAATAATATGCTCCACGAACGACAGAAGGTGAACTGGGGAAAAATAAAAACAATAGGGGTTGAGTTCAAAACAAAAAACAAAACAAAACAACCCTCCCCCCCCGAGTTAGCCGGCTTTCTGCAAGACTGAGTGGTTTGCCCCTTTAAATGCACGTTTGAGGGAGACCAGCAGAAGAAGGAGAAACGTTAGGAGGATCTAAGTCCACCCGGAGATGCTATTCTCCGAGTGGAGAGATATCCATCCCACCCTGTGTTTCCTATATGTAAAGGTACGATGACGGTGACTATCCTCAGAAAAGATGTCTATATGATACGATAGATAAATTCGTCCATGTTACTGTATAGTAGTGTCGAGTCTTGTGATAATGATGCGGTGCCGTACCGCTAAGGGGGGGGGGTGGGGAATAGCTGATGATATGCTCGTTAGTTTATTCGGGGTTTCCAACCCCCCCATGAATAGACATGTTACGCATATTATGCATAGCATTTCATCCTATTTACTATTTATTTTATTTCTCTCGTTATAGCAGGAAGGAATTAAACATCCTGACGCAAGAGATGGGGTTTCGGGAAAACTATGAACAACTGTATTATGTAGTGTAGTATGTAGGGGTAAAGGGTAGAAAAAAAAAAAAACTATTCTAAACAAGCATACCCCCTCAAGCCTCTGCTACTGTAGCTTGTACTTGTACCATACAGCTGGCTACCCACCCTCACTGTGCTCGAAGTACTTGTACTGTACGGGTTAGCTTAGTGTAGTTATCAGACAGTTTTTTTTTTACTTCTTTTCACTTCATAGTCGGTTCATGCTGGAAACAACAGAAAAAACTCGTGGTGGAAGAGGAGGCCGGAATTATTTGTGGTAGGATACTCCCGGTATCCAATCGCTAGTTGCAGTCACGAGTGGCGAGTTCAATTGATGATGGGTCATTGCGGACAGGGATCTGAACGGACGAACAGACGAACGGTTTTCCAGACAGCGAAACGGAATTGACAATTGAGATCCTAGTATTAATGGGTTGATTGACTGATTCAGGCTTCATGATTCAGCACAAGTACGAGTAAGGCCATTCCATTCTCTTAAACCTGCCCACTCCTCATCCTTATGCTGTTCAAGCGGCAGCAACTGTTGTTGTTCTGTTGTGGGTTGCCTGCCTGCTTTGCCTCTCCGCCTGCCTAGCTAGCTTGCTACCTGCTTGATTGCTTGCTCCTCATCCACGGCACTCCCAGTTCTTAGGCCAACTGCCTTAAAACTATTCGTTTCTCCATGCACGCCCGGGCAAATTGATCGCTGTCGTTACTTGCACCCTTCCAGCCAGTCAACATTATAGAACGTTTACCAGACCTCTTGTTCTGCAACAACGCCCGGTTCCTGGTCCCCCTTCAGCATGTGGTTGCTACAAGGTAACTTGCCTCTGGCGCGTGAAAAATTCCCTATGTGCGTTGTTCACCCACTGGGTGCGCCCCACGTATGTGTATGGTCACTTCGAACTGTAGTGTAGAAATTATCGTAGCAGTGAACGGATTTTTTTTTTTTACCAAAGCGAGAGGTTTCTCTCTCGGGGGGACCGTTTGTCTGGTGCTCGGAGCTTCATGCTCTAGAGCACCGGCAACTCTCTGGGTCCACCGCCCTTCCCGCCCCTCCCCCTCCTCCACCTACCACCCTTCCCCCCATCGACTTTGCAATCACCCCGCCGATAATAGCTTTCTCTTAACCTTCCGGTGTTGGGATCGTCTTAGGTCCCAGGCATTGACAGTAAGTTGTCACTTTGAGCCGGGAGGAGAGAGGGTCTGGGAGGGAGGGGTCGAGGTCACCATCCGGATTGGACGATGGGTGATGTTTTGGAGGAAGTATTTCATCAATGCTGTTGCTAGCGCTAATCCATGGAGGGAAAAGTGAGAAGGTGGATTTGGAGGCAGAAGCGTTATTTCAACAGACATTTTTCGGGGCCCAACCAATTTCTCCCACTTGGGGTTGGTTTGTCGAACAGTACCGTACTTGTACTTGTATCATGAGTATTATTATTATTATTATTATTATTATTATTATTATTATTATTATTATTATTATTATTATTATTATTATTATTATTTTCCAATTAATATAGGTTTATCCTTTTCTTTTCTTTTTACTTTTTACTTTTTATTGTCTTTGCGGGGGTCACTACCGTAGTGAACTAACGGTCTCTCTGGCCCGAGGGTCACAGACACTCCCAATAAGTCGAGTCTCGGTCACCCTACACACCACACAGCATGTTTTTACCCAAAAATCAAATCCAACCAACCCGCAGGCCAGCCAGCCAGCAAAGAGGCTTCCACAGAACTTTTACTCGAGTACAACTTTAGATCAGCCGCTCTTGGGCTGTGAAGAAAAAAAAAAAAAAAAGAGAGAGAGAAAGAAATGGGGAAAGGGAGAGGGAAAGAAAATCTGGGAGGTAGCAGTTCGATAAGAACGAATGAGCGAGACTGAGGGAGAAAAATTGGAAGAATGGTAAAAAAGAAAAAAGGGAAGGGAAAAAGAAAGAAAAAAAAAAGAAAAGAGGCAGCTGTGAGAAAGAAATGGTTGTGGGCCACTTGGGTGTACCCTACTTTTCTGTCCCTTGACCCATGTGTATCACAAGTATGATACTTTATACTTTCCGCGCCCGCCCTCCCTGCTGCAGGTCCCTGGGTGGTGGATAGATCTTTATTTAAGTTGCTCTCCTCCCCCTCTCGATTTCTCAATTTATATATATATATATTTTTTAATCCACCTCCTGCCTCGGCTTCACAGGGCGCTCTTCGAGTTAGTGCCCATTCCTATTCTTTTAAAAAGTCGTTGGAGACCCTTTTCTATAGCCTTTTCTCTGGATTTCTTAGTGGGATTTTATTTATTATTATTATTATTATTTTATCGTTTTCCATCAGCAGAGCTACACATACATATTACCTGTTGGCTCTCTGACTCAAAGCCGTCTTCGAGCATCTAGAGAACAAACGGAGAAGATGGATTCGAGTCCTGGTCCCCACCGTAGCCACACTCGCGGTCAACCCTTCCACCTTCAGCCTTCAGAAGGGGAATATGACACATCTTCCGTCAACACTACATCAACACAATCAATAGATATACCAGAGTCGAGTTCGCATAATGTAAGCTCGGAAGTCTCTACTCCCGGATACGAGTACCAATCATCTCCCAATGCTCCGGCGAAACGGTTAAATGAGTCGGCTCCTCCACCAGAGACAATGTACCCATTAAAGCGATTAAAGGTGGAGGAGTCTGATTCCAGCTCGTCCAATTGTTCATTGTCAGAATGCTCTATGCCCGCAGAAGCCCCAGCACCGGATTCCGAGTCTGAGAGGTCGTCAAGGGTTAAGGTTGCGGGAAACAAACAGTTCAGATCGAGGTCGTTACCCCCCAACCTTCGACGGAGAAGACGAACGCAACAGGAAAGCATCCAACAGCACATCCCACCTGTCACCCTGAACACCCTGAGAGAGCTCGACTTGCATGAGATCTACCGCAATCCTAAGCTTAGACACGACGTTGTTTTCGATTCACAGCTTCATTTCCGACCGAATCTTGATGGGACTAGGGGGAGGAGAAAGAAGGAGATGGCGGATATGTACTGGCAGATCGTCCTGCGGGAGTGTGAGGTGGTTTTGGGATCATCCAAGTGGAGGAATGCCGAAATGTTCTCGACAACACCGAGGAAGCTACCGATCTTATTCGAGACGATGCGTGATATCTTATTGACACTGGTTCCAAAAACAGACAGGTCGGACGTTGAGTCTATCTTGGATCCCCCTCTTTTGATGCAGCAATTGAAGCACAACGTGTTGGATTTCAAGGGGCTGTCGTTGTGGCTGGCTACGGTCTTGAAGGCGCATTGTGCACCGATGAGGGATCAGTGGGTGGAACAGATGGTGGTTAAGGTAGCTCATGGAGTGGATAATAGAAAAGTGTCTGCATTAGTAGAAGGAATACAGATGGTTTTCGGGATTTTGGAAGCTATGAAACTGGTATGCAACCCCTGTTTTGGCGAGCCCAATTTGATGAAATATTCAATTCTGACTTTTTGCAGGATGTTGCCAACCACCAGATTCGAACACTTCGACCCCACCTAATTTCTACGGCTATCAGCTTTGAGCAAGGTTACTTTCAAGATCGAATAGACCAGGGACGTCTGGACATGAAGGAGCCAAGGAGTTGGTTTTCGAATGCTGTAGCGGCCCGCAACACGAACGAAGCCCTCGACCACATGGTCATCTTTACGGGTGCCGTGGTAGATATGCTCGCTTCCTCGCAGTACGCCAAATACCCAGCCACCTTTGTATTCGACTACGAAAGGTTAGAAGGTCTGCGGGACGACATTCGGGAAGCGACATGTCTCAAGATGGCTATCCTCTTCTTCCGACAGCTGACTCTATCATCAAAACGGGATGTGGATGCGGCAACAATTGACAAACTTCGAACGTCGATAATCGCTATCTTGGGAGACGAGGATGGTGTTCACCGATGGTTACGGCATAGCAACGCCGTTGCCCTGCACGTTGCTCAGACGGCCTACGAGTTCAATGGCTCAACTGGGATCGCCGATGCCTCCACAGTCAAGATGGCAGAAAATTGGTTCGCGAAGCACCTCCAGATCAACTCACCGATCTATGTACATGTGGAAAAGGAGATCTCCAAGGAACTGACGGGAATGGTCCTCCGTATAATTAAAGGGTGGTCCTCACTTTCCACTTTCTCCATTATGCAATCGGCCGATGTTACGGGATCTTCCATGGAGCTGGCCTCGATAGCCCAGAGAGCATCGCATATCGTCTTTATGCACTGGCGGATATTCGGAAAAATGTATTTGGCGTCGTGATTTCGTTTGCCCCGGATATCGATTTGTTCCTTCCACCCAAACCTTTTTCTTTTTCCCTTTTCCACCTACCGCAACAGTAATATGTTTATAATACATCGCCCAATCTTTCCTTATTTTTTACCCATTTTCCTTTGTTTTCGGTATAAACGGGGGGGGTTTTTTTTTTGGAGGCAAGGTGGTGTCTATTTATTTATTATTTCGGTTTACTTTCCTGCTTATTTCCTTTTTTAATCTGTGTTCCTTTTTGTTTTATTTTTATTTTTAACTTTGTTTTCTGTTTTAGTTGGGATGGGTTGAGGTTTTTGGCTTTTTGGCTTTTTTTTTTTTTTTTTCACAAATAAAATATCATATGTGCGAATTTGGGGGTCTTTCCTTGTTTCCTTTTGTCAGTTTTCCTTTTGTTTCCTCTTCCTATAAACAGCGGCGTATTTAGAGTGGATCGGCGGTAGAAGTGAATCCAAATTAATGTGATATCTTGAGAGTAAATAAATCGGTCCCATCGAAACCCGTGAAAGGTGGTTTGGTTGGTTACCACTGGTCCATAGGAACGCCGGCTGAGAACCTAAGACTAAAAGCATTATGATTCTAGAGGTAGGATGTATTATCGTTTGAGCAATTTAGCCCATCGAAATCGTTGTCTGATGACCTGAACCTTTGTAGGCCACCATACAGTTATCATATAATTCATAGGTTATGAGTTCAAGCACAAGTTGAATTATAGCCGGTATGATGATACCATATGATACCATCTGCACCCAGTGTGCCCTTGACTTTTACCAGTGTGATTATTGGGGGCGGGGAGGGAGGGGAGGGGATGCAATTCGATCCAATTCAATTCCTAGAAGGAAAAACCCTGACACAAAAACTATAGTCTCAAGCCATACTGTACTCGTACATACCCTCATGGGATGATCCGTGATCCACTCGGAGATGCACGAGGTTTCGAGTGTATGATATTCGCACCCTATAACTCGTAGAGTATGATACTGTATCGTACAAGTATATACCAAGGGACCCCCCCACCCCCGAGTCGGCCGGGATTCCAGGTTCGTGCGTGCGTCTGAGACGATGGGATCCCGGACCCTTCGGTGTTTCCTCTATAATGCCGCTAACTCGAACTTGGAACTTTTTCTTCTTTCTTCTTCTTCCCCTTCCCAACCATCTCCAGCCGAAGCGAAGGCAAGGAAGAAGAGTCCTTCTGCAGAGTTTTTTTCTTTCTTTCTTTTCCTTTCTTAGCTATTTACGGTGTACATACCGACATATCTATCATTACCGCACGCATCTATGATAGGTTATGGAGTGAAAAGATTTAGGGCATCGTGCCATCGGTTGCAGGGGTGTATGTTTATTATCATTACAAACAAGTACCATACTTGTACCATCGATTCTGCTCCAACTTGGACCTCACCGCATTGCTGAAACAAGCGAAAACAACGTGGGAAATGGCAAATGAAATACCGGTGCATAAGTACGATAAACGAGCCCAGATGTTTGTCTCGTTTTCACAGTTTCTGCTCCGTTTTTGGCCCAATCATTGGGGTAGATTAATTCGGGATCTGTAATATCCTTGATATGGTGCCTGATCGGGAACCCTTTATCATGCCATGGGTCACTCACTACTCTACGAGCGGTTTTCATCACTCTTGGCATACCCGTGGACTCCAAAATCCGACCCGGAAATCGTAAGGAAAGAATCATCTTACTTTTTTTTTGGTGGGCAATTTCTCCTATCATACTCCGTAGAATTTTAGGATGATAGAACTAAAATTTGCAATGTTTATTTTCTTTCCCTTACCATTCTGCTGCACAGGTGGCAGGGATTATTTTTCAGGTAAGCCCGAATTATCTGTTCACTAACTTTATTAGTGAGCACTTGCAACTGTTTAGGGAGTGGTGAAGAAACATGTTTTGAATGGTGGATATGTCGTGTCTTGGTGTGGGCGAGGTCCAAGCTTTCTCGCATGCACTGATGGCATGCGATGGGTGCACTCGAGTGCCGTTACCGTAGTGGTATATAAAACATTTGATACACCCCTGCGGGTCCATGGTATTCTAAACCTTTTCTCAGAAGGTTTTGACTGGACTTTCTGCAATAGCATTTTGCATAAATTTACCGCTCAGTGTCTGCTGTGCTGTGCTGTACTATTATATGACACCGCACCCGATCGAACGGCACAAAATATTGTGGAGTACAGTACCAGTACGAGTACAGCACCCTGCCGGTTAGTGTCAATCTACCCTTCAGAGATACAATACCGTACCGGTACTACAACTCCGGGGGAAAAAAGAAAAGGAAAAAAGAGTATTAATGAGGCGAAGCTACACAGTACTCGTACCCATCGTATCATATCCTATCGTGGGCAACTACAGTACTGCCGGTGCCGTGCTCATACCATTCCTTACTGTGCTGTGTTGAATGAACCATTACCGGTGCCGTACTCGAGCACACTGCTAGCATGACAAAGGGGTGTTTCTCGTGCAACGCCAACATGCTGCCTGTACCAATTTGTATCATCAACACCCCCCCCCCCCCTAAACAAATAAGTCCCAAACCCATGTGCTACATACTAATACCAATACAAATACCCCGGTGTCTTTCTTCTTCTCTCGTGAGTCGACCGGTGTAATCTTGCCGAAACCAAATAAGGACAACTATAACGACTGCACCAGCTTCAGGGTGATTGCCCTGATGCAGACCTTTTCAAAGATAGCGGAGAGGGTAGTCAATAGTAGGCTAGTGGACATCGCTTATAAAACTGGGTTGTACTGCGTCAATCAAACAGGTAGTCTGCCACAGAGATCTACAGTCAACGAGGTGCTTGCTCTACAACATTGGACGAGAGAGGCGCAATTTGCAGGAAAGAAGGTCTCCTCGATCTTCCTGGACGTGAAGGGCAGCTTTGATAATGTGAATCACCAAAAGTTAATAGACAGGTTAGCTGAGAACCTATCAGTCCCTGACTATTTGACCGACTGGATCAGAAATTTCATTGCCTGGCCGCAATTTCATTGTATGTGGAATAGATAAAGAAGATGATGGCAGTACGAATTGTCTCCGCCATTCCAGAGAATAACAACGCTATGGCAATGCTTCCATTATCATTCCTGACAGCTAGGGACTTTAGGTTCTCTACCAACCAGAGGTTAGCGTTTGATAACAATAAGGGGGGGATGAGACCGAAGACATGGGGTTCAACGGCCACGACCACAGCACAGGTACGACTTCCGATTAACGAGGTAGCCACCGTGGCATCAACGGTACTAGAGGATGGTGCCACACCAATTCGACCTTCAAGACTCCTTTTGGTTACTCCTACCCAGGCCGAGGTTCACTTCAAAGTCAGGGAGAGAGTTAGGAACAAGACACATAAAAAGTAGGTGGAATGGCAATTCCCACCCTACTACAAGTATAGGCATCCGTTTAGGGAATGCTGGTATTTTGTGACCCTCCTTAAGTTCATGGCCTCCAGACTTTATCAAATGCGGGCGAACAAAAGTTACCTTGCGGCTCAAATAGACTGGTCGAATCAGGGCCGGGACACAACCTGTGGGAGGTGCTGTGAATGCCCGGAAACTTTTGACCATGTTGTGCAATGCTCGGCTCTCGCCGAGTCGAGAAGAAACATCCCCCCCCAAGTTTTTGACGTGGGTCTGGAGTCGGAGCTGTGGAAGGGGGGTAAGGTGGGCAAGAAACTAATGGGAGATTTTCTCTCTTATGTGATGAAGAATAGGATTAACTTTCCAGTGAAGATGGGGGTTTTTCCTTTTACAAGGAATGCTGATTTGGCATCGTGATGATATGTAATGATTTTCATTTGTGATGGGACTTGTTTAGTGATTTTTATCGTTTATTTGTTTTTGTTTTGGGGGTGAATGAAGTTTCTTTTGTTATGTTAAGGAGGTTTTCAGGCCATACCTTAGGGTGCTTGCCATGGATTTTTCCCGTAGTTAGCTACAAATAAACCGCGGATTTAACAAAAAAAAAAAAAAAATTTTTTTTTTTTCTTCTTCTCTCGTTCCTTCCTTCCCTCCTTCCCTCCTTCCTTCCCTCCCCTCCTTCCCTCCTTCCTTCCCTCCCCTCCTTCCCTTCACCTGCTTCTCTTGGCCTCGTCTGGGCTACCGGTAGGGCTCGACACTTTGCAACTGGTGTCATGTCGTGTCGTACTTGTACTCGAGTACCGGTGCGGTAGGTGGGTGGGCTGGGAGTGGTGTGGAAATTTAACTAAGCTACCTTTTTTCTTTTTCTTGCCCTCTCGTTAATTCTCCAAGGAATGGAAGGATGGAAAAGGGGATTGCGCAATATGAGTTACCGGCACCGTATCATATCGGTTCTGGACAAGGGCACCGAGAGGAATGTTCTCGGAGTAATGGAAGCTTGGGAACGTTCTAGGGAATTGCTTTGTCAAATTGGGATAAAGCTTATATCCCGCCTTGGGAGTTAGACTACTACATTACAGTACGAGTATCGGGAAGAAAATGTATCGTAAATTGGGCTATCAAAATTGTGCTTTGTGCTGAACACAATCAATCATGATAATGATAATGATAATGACAAACTACACACCCCGCTCTCTCGGATGGCTCCGTGTACGAACCAATATTTAAGGCTGACGACTTTGTCCTATCCTACGCAAAGTCTTCCTCATCCCCTTCCTGTTCCACCCCTTCCTTTCCGTTCTTCTACCCCCCCCCCCCAACCTTTATCGCCGAGAGGAAGAATGAGGATAGTAATAAAGACACCTAATTGTTGGAACTGCTTCATGTTACGGTTGTGCTAGACCATGCGCCCATACTTTCCGCCGCCGCCGCCCAGCTCGTTATTCACCTGTCCCCGATTTGCATCACCATGGAGAGACCTTTCCTTTTCTCGGCTTTGGTTTACTTTATGTTACTTTACTTTCCCAAGTTATATTTTTGATCCTTAGTTATTCCTTTCTTTTCCAATGCTACCACCAATTCATGGTAGCACAGAATACAGGTGGCTGGGTCGATGCTTGTTACTATTAACAGCTGAGGTGTTTCCACTTTTGGCAAGATTTGGGTGGTAGCAAAAGTTTGGCCGAGAAAGGGGCAGCGCTATTGTTCAGACATGATTATCTTCTCTCTATATATATACCGGTAAGTCAAATACCCACCACTGCGGGTGCGAACCCAGGAGAGAAAAAGCATGATAAAGTAAACTCCCTTTGGTGGGCGATTCAAAGCTTTGGGGACGACAGGTTGTGTTGCACTTGTACGTATCATACCGTATTAGTTACGAGCACAGTACCGGTGACCTCGTTGCACAGGCGCAGACAGGTGCAGTAAATTTATTGTGCGGGTTGGTGCAAGAGTGAAGAGAGGTGGCAAAGGTGCAAAATATTTGCGCCAGACCCTTGCCTTTTTTTTTTTTTTGGTGAAGTCGCGGTGGGTGCATGTGACCTGGACCTGAAGTTGGACTTGGACTGGGTGTTGGACTTAGTCCCTGTCCGCCGTAC